TTGGCAATGTGATGTCTCTGCTTTTTAAGATGCTGTCTAGGTTTTATCATTGCTTTTATTGCTTTCCTCCCAAAAAGTAGGCGTCTTTTAATTTCATGGCTGCTGTCATAATCCACAGTGACCATGGAGCCCAAGAAAGTAAAATATCTCATGTAGATAGCATATGCTAAATTCAGCATGATGATAACAGTAGTGTCAGGACATAATTAAGCTCTACCTTGGCTCTGCAGCCCTCTGGGGTTCAGAAAACCCCACATCTGCTCTGGAGGGCTAAATATAACTTTGAAGCTGTTCAGTTTGAACATTTTCTCAATTCAATTGCCAGAATTGGTTATTTACACTGGTATAAGTAAAGTGGCATAATTTTTAGCTGCAAATTCGTAGTCCTGAGCCAGTCTCATAATTCAGGGTGTGCAACAAGGAGTATAAGCTATGACTCATTTACTGACAGCAGTTTGTTGCTAAGATTTATGCCATTGTATATGTATTGGCATAAGTTACTGATATCAATATGCTACTAATTAAAGTAATAAAATAAACATTTTTAAACAAATTGTCTAGGAAAAAAAAGATACAATTCTTCTATCCCACCTTACTGGGTTCAGTTAGGTTTTTGGAGGGATAGGGGATCACCACAATTACAAAGTGTAGCAGAAAATCAACATGATTTTAGACATAACTTCCTGGAAGTGGAAATGCTTTCACTGTCCTATTTCCTGTGGAACTATTTTGTCTATGCTAAAGCAGAACATTATAAGTTCCTGTAGAGGGTGCTCAAGGTATTTAGAACTATAGCTGCATGGCCTGATTATGCATCTTTGACTTGACAGTTTCTTTTTGCCTGTAATCATCATCATCATCAACTTAGAAATATAGAGCTGGAAGGGACCCTATGGATCATCAAGTTCAGCCCCCCCCCCCGCAGAAGAGAATCCCTTTACACATTAGTGTGGTGACAACTTGCCCAGTATAATTAAAACTATTTGAATTTAGCCAGCAGTGGTCAAAAGACTCGGAGGTGGTCCATGTTGTATAAGAAATATGATGGCAAAAGACTGGATAATTTCTGCAGTTATGTTCCAGTTATGAGGTGCTGCACATCTGGCTTCCACTCTTTTATGTTCTGAGGTGCTAGAATGAAATGGTTTTATTTGCCCCAGCTTGTTGTTTACAGAAATTCACCCTTTCTTGAGCCAAAAAAAGTTCCTGGAGCCACTGACAAAGATCAGTAAGTACAGGCAGTTCTTGCCTTCTAAGCTATAGAATCAGAGAATTCTAGAGCTGGAAGGGATTCCCAAGGATCACTGAGGGGAAGCCACTCCCACCCCATGCTAGAAATCGATAGCTAAAGCATCCCTGACAAACATTCAACCTCTGTTTAAAAACCTCCAGCAGAGGAAAGCCCGCCATGTTCTGAGATAGTCTGTTCCACTTTCAAGCAGCTCTTACTTTCTGGGTTTCTTAATGTTTAGTTTGGGGGTGTAATCTCTGGAGACAAAGAAAATAAGCTTACTCCGTTTACTCTGTGACAGGCCATCAAACAATTGAATACAACTGCCATACCACCTTCCAGCCTTCTCTTCTCCATTCTAAACATAACTAGTAGGTATGAGATTTTTGGATTTTTTTTCCCTCCACAGCTCAATGGAGTTATGGGATTGGTAGTTCTTTTAGAGTCGCTAGTAGGTATGAGATTTTTGGATTTTTTTCCCTCCACAGCTCAATGGGGCTATGGGATTGGTAGTTCTTTTAGAGTCACCATGTACAAAGCCTAATAAGCAGAGAAACAGTCCTCCGAGTGCTTGCACTCCTGTACATAGTCATCTTTTTCCTCCTTAGAGGCAACCTTCCTTCATTGCTTTCATGAGAGCATCCGTTCTACCCAGAACCTTTACACTTCTCTCATGAGCTGAAGAATAGATAGATGGGCTTCAGTCTGCTGTAGCTTCTCTTCCAAGCAGGGCCAATTGTTTGCAGTTACTGCAGGTGTAACTTTCTATATTCTTGGGCAAGAAAATAAACATGGTACTTCTGCAGCAGCTTGTCCACCATCTGTGTTCTGTAGGCAATAAAACGGCACTCCTGGCCTTCGCCTCAGATTTCCTTTGCTTTCCATGCTCACTTCTCTTCACAAGCTTGCAGGGCCTGTGGATTGTGCCTGTAGAGCTGGCAGCCAAGTATGCCCTCAACCAACTTGAGGTCTTCTAGTCTAAAAGCCATAGCACAAAAGGGAGGAGTCCAAGAGGCAAGGGAAAAAACCCCACCAGGCCTCTTTGACACAGGCTGGCCTTGATGATCCATAGGGACCTTTCCAGCTCTGTACTTCTGAGATGTCAGCTCTTCGTCACTGAGTTCTTATAAACCACTGGTTCTTAACCTTGGGTTACTCAGGAGTTTTGGACTGCAACTCCCAGAAGCCTTCACCACCAACTGTGCTGGCTGGGGTTTCTGGGAGTTGCAGTTCAAAAACATCCGAGTAACAAAGGTTAAGAACCACTGTTATAAACCAGGGTTTCCCAACCTGGAGGTTGTGACCCCAAAGAGGGTTGCAAAGTCTTTTCTGGGGTGTGTGTGTCAAGGGCTGCCTTACTTGTGTTTTAGCCCTTGTTTAACAATTTCTTCCTTGAACCTTGGGAGAGGGATGTTACAGTTAGCATGTGTGAGAAACAGGCCCTTTGGGAGAGAAAGAAGCCTCTCCATTCTTTACCCTATTAAAAAACGCCTTTTTGTGCAAACGTGGCAAGAGTTACATGCTATTATTACAAAAAGGGGGTTTGACTCAGAAAAGGTTGGAAACCAGTTTTAATGTTAATTTTTGTTGGGAATAGGGGAACAATCTCCAGGCAACTACTCCTTCACCGGCCAGTAGATGGGGTCAGGTTGGTATCTTCCTGGGTCCTTCCTTTGAGGCATTGGGCACCTTCCTAGTTACTTTTAGTCTCCAGATTGATCCAGCCTAACTCACATTTGTGTATTTATACAGCTGCATTGTTGTGTGTGCTTTTAAAAGTTTGGTGTCCACTGGAGGAAGCTTTTTACAGGTCATCCTGTTTATGGGGCTTTCTTGCTACTGGTTCACGCAGCTCCATATGGTCTGCTTGGATTGACAGGAACCAGTCAAACAACCTGGAAGCTCTGCTCTGTTAACTGGCTCTGTTGGGAATCAAACCTGGGCTCTTCTACATGCAAAATATTCCTTTGCCACTTAGCCAGTGATGTTCTGCTTGTTGCTTAGGGGTCTCTCTGTCCATAGTACTGTGAACGGAATCCGAAAACAATAGTGTTTGATTCATTGCCATATGAAAGGTTTTGTCCCATAGTTTGCAGAAGGGACCTTCTTGTTGGTCATGTCACAACAGGGCATTTTATCTATGATTATTAGACAAGTTTACTGACTCAGTGCCGTATATAAGCTAGAGGTGCAGAGAGAGCATTAAATAAGAGACCCATAAATCGATTTGTAATTCTTTTGCAGGTGGAGGACTTGTGACCTCTGGAGGATAAACCCGTTGCCTTGTTTCAGTAGCTACAATGAATCAGGTTGGAGCCAAAATTACTTTGATATATGGTGTGAGTTTGCCTTATTTAGAAAAAAAGGTCTGGTGTTCAGGGATAGTTATCTTGAGATACCATTCATTAATATTTGTGGATTACACAGTGAGAATGTTAACAATATAGTTTCATTGCCAAAAGAGCTTGTCAAACACAGATGGTTTGGGTTAACAAAAGAGAGGTACATTACACCTTTACATTTCTTTTGTTTCCATATCTGCTAATTAGGGTTAGAAATGAATGACTCAAAAGATTTCCCTTTAGTGTAACACAAAAGGACTAGTGCAGCCCCTCAAAAAGACAATTCTTAAAGAACCCAAAACAAAACAAGCATGATAGTTTTCACTGTGCATATCCCTAAAATATATAGTTTCCAACCTTGCACAGTACAATTGTGGATATATATAACCTTGGAACAAGGCCATGAGGATTTTATGCATTGAAATGATTGTAAATACTTATTAAATGAGGCTGGCTTATAAATAGCTTTATAGCTCTTGCCTTTTTCAATCCGGCAAGACCACACACAGTGCTCCTTGGCATGATTTGTTTCTAGAATTCGGAACATCTCCTGACTTCTGTGTTTTTCCTTTTCCTTGGCACAGGGCGAAAGAAGTTTGCAGGAAACCCGAGCCAGCATCCTCCTCTACTCATTCCTACAGAACTCTTCCAACTGCTCCTTTGCTTCGGAGCTTTGTGCTTTGAAACCTCAGTTGTTGGCTTCAGCAACACTGCATGATGATTTTGACGATGGTGAACTTCAGACTGATGGCAACAGATTTGTGAGACCCCAGAGCGATGTATTAGGTAACTGTTGTTCTCTGACGCCTTGCAACTTTGGAAGCAGTCCTGGATCTTCCCGTATAAAGAAACCTCTTTACGGAGAGAGTCATATGCATGTCCTTTTAAGTTACAGGGCTCCTCTGGATAGTGATGCTGATTGCTAGAGACACTGGAGTGTGTGGCTGGCTGACACATCCCCCCCTAACAGCACTACCCCACCTTGGGCTATGCAGAACACCAATGGGGTTTTATATTATGGGAATATTTTATTCTAAGCACCTAATTAATCTAAACTAATACCTACGGTTCTGGTAAGGTACAAACAAAGGGTGCCATGCTTATTAGAAGGCTTCTTTATTTTGAATGAGTTGTGAGTAGAGAAACTGTTCAGTTATTTACTCCTAATCCATTTTTATTACATTCCTTGCTGTATGGAATTTTGGGGTGGATCTTCACTCTGCCAACCTTCACACCTACCCTTTGAAGATGATTAGGCTGAGAGTCAGTGTCTGGCTTACAGATTGTGAAGTAGCAGGATACAAATATCTGCTAAATCTTATTCTCTAATTGTTACGCCATTGTGGGTCTCGGTACTTGTTGCCCTCTTCAGCTAGCTGTTTTTAATGTGCCTTTATCCCTGTTAGAGGAGATATGATGGAGAGAAATAGAACTCTGTTTTATTTAACCCTCTTTCTTTTTTTAAATTATGTATTAAGTTTCACAGAGTGATGAAGAAATTTTCCGTACTATTGGAGCTCAGCTGGCTACAATTGGGGATAAACTAGCTGCCGAGATAGACCCATCAGTTGTACAGAACCTGGCACAATTTATGGTGGGGAATGTGTCCGAAGAGGTGAGAAAGTAATGAAACCATGTATGAGTTTCATTTAACATTTGAGAGAGGTCCTGAATTTGCTTCAGAGCTTTGTGAATCCCTTATCCCTGTTCCTATTCTGGTTAATCGTTTAGGATTCGTTTCTTTAGCTTTACTGTTGGATCTAAAGAATGTGCAACTAGAGCCAAAGGAATCAGAAAACAAGTTTAGTTTGTAGTTTTATTTACTTGCCCTTGGTTTACACGACAGGAAAGAGTGCTTTGATCAGTTTTTTTAATAATTGGACAAGCTAAAAAGGCAGCAATGACCAGGCAAGGATTCCAGGGATGTTTCTTTTCCTTAGGCAAGGAACTTAGTAAGATTTCAGCTTCAGCCCCATTGTTGAATTCTCCAGCCACCAACATCAGATTGAACTTGTTTTCTTACAGGGAAATTTAGTGGTGAAATTAGTTTTGGGGCACAACAGTGTTGCTGGCAGAACATTGACCAAAGGGAATGAGATGGTTCTTTTGGAGAGAACTTAAGGCTGGGACTCCAGACTTGTTTAACCAATATGTACAGTCAACCCTCGATTTATGAACGTAATCCGTTCCGGAAGTCAGTTCGTAAATCGGAAAGTTCGTAAATTGGGCCAGCGTTTCCCATGGAATGCGTTGAAAACCAATTAATCCATTCCGGCGGAAGAAAAAAAAACCCTCCAATAAAAATATTTGGAGAAGCCAGGCGGCCGGGGAGAAATCGTCTCCCTCCTTTCACCCAATGCTGCCACGGCTGCTGACGTCCCTTCACGCCGGGCTGAGCTCAGTCCCTGGGCTGGCACGAACGGGACTCAGCAGCTGTGGCAGCATCGGGTGAAAAGCCTTGCTTCCCCAGCACCATGGGAGGCCTGGCGGGGGCCCCCTGCAACTGCAATCGCTGGTTTCGGAGGTCTCCCGCAAGTCCTCTCATGGTGCTGGGGAAGCCTCCAAATGGAGAAAGGCAGGGGAAAGGATGGGAAGCCTGGGAGGCTGAGATTTGAATTTCCTGCTCTTTTTCCCTGCCCTTTTTCCCGTTTGTAACCCAAAGCCGGGTTCACAAATCGAGGGAATATTTTTCCCATGAGAGCAGTTCGTAACTTGAAAAGTACGTATCTAGGGCCGTTCGTAACTCGAGGGTTGACTAGCTAGAGATAACAGAAACAAAAGCAAAGAGCTGTCTGTGCCATTTGAAATTAAGTGACAACTCTAGCTCATACTGACTCAGGGTCAAAGAGAATTATAAAGTCTGTATAAACATCCAGATAGAAATTTGCTTCAGGAACTTCCCTAAGTCCAAGGTTGCTTGAACTCTGCTTGGGGAAAATCTTGGGTGGGTGGATCAGACCTAGTATTAAAATAAATTTAAAAAAATATTTATGTTGTAGAAGTTCCCGTAAAGGCTGCTTCTCCACTTAATGTGGTGGAACAGAACTGATGTAGAACTGTGGAGCAAAGTGCTTACTTTCCTAGTGGAAGAGAACTCTGATGCATTTCGGGCTTTACTGTGGAGATCTTTTTCAAATAATGTCAATGTAAAAAAATGTTATTGGAATTTTCATTAACTTACGAGATTTTTTTTAAAAAAACTGATAGTTGAAGTATGACTGTGGTGAAGCTGGGGAGGATATAGTACCCAGTCCATCCTGTCAGCCTCCCACAGCTCCTCACCCATGGGCCTTTCCACCCAATCACTGACCAAGGAGAAAGGGCTTGATGGTCCCATAACTGTGGCTGGTGAGGGCCCTTTCCCATCACCAGCAATCTTCCTGAATGTAGGTACTCCAGAAGGGTGACACACCACTGTTAATAAGGATCATCTTAGTGGGGCTAATGCAATAGCAAGGGACATATGTGTGGGTAACTCAGGTTATAGGCGACCGAGAGCCCAAAGATGAGGGGAAGTGGCCACCGGGGAATCCGAGTGTTGAGGCTAATGAGGCAGGAGAAGAAGAGGACAACTGGATAGATGCCCCAATCAACTTGGGGCAGAGATGCTTTGCCAGAGATAAGGCAAAGTCCTGTTTGTCCTCATTGAACTCTTGGTCTGTGAGCCCTCACTATGACTCATGCCTAAGAAGAAGTGGTGTAGGCTTCTCCAGAAGGACAGTGAGATCTTGGGCACTTGGGTACAACGGGTGAAGTCTTGTGATGCTAGATTCTAAACCCTGTAGCAGCCTTGAAGGAACTCAGGGCACCGTTGTGGGAAGATGAAGTGAACCACTTTTGGTGGCTGCAAGAGGACTGCAAATGGTCCTGAGGTGGGTGGATCTGGGGGGTTTAGGTTATGCTAGACAGGACAGCTGAGCTCAGTAACAAACTGTTTGATTGTAGTTGCTTCAGACTATATAGCTGAATGCATTGAGAGCGGAAATGTCTGTTACTTTTATGATGGGATGGGAGTTACCGGGGCTGGAAGGTTAGGTGTCAGAAGTACATTTTTTTTCCTGATGTTTCTTTAGGCTATAAGCAGTCACATGTCTCAAGCTGTGGAAGCAGTTGTCAAAAGGATGCCTTTGGAAATGGAGCGGGAGAAAGCCATGTTAATCGTGACCATGGTTCTGGCCAAGAAAGTTGCAAACACAGTGCCATCTTTTCTACAGCAAGTATTCAGCACAACTGTGAACTATATTAACCACAACCTTCGTGATTACGTGAACAACCTGGCACCCGAGGTGATTGAAATTAAATAGTTAGAGTAGAACATTATTATACCTCTCAGAGAAATGCGTCTCAGAACTCATTTTGAAACTAGAGTACATCAGGGTTCTCTGTGTGTGTCTTGATAACTTTCCTTTCACTTAAAAGGGTGCAGTTTTTTTGGCCCTGAATGCAAGCAGAGACTTTCTGTTTGTCTTTTTTTTAACATACATATACAGCTGATCAGCTAGGGGGAAATGGGAGGACCATACAAAGACCAGCAGGATGTATGTCCCTGAATTGACTTAGAGGTGGTTTTCTCAATTCTGTTAGGAACTTTAAAGGCAAAAGTGTAAAAGAAAGTCTAAGCAAATAAAGAATGGCTGAAATCCAGTAGCAAGTTGCAACTAGAACATTGAATCAGTGGGGATTTGGTGAGTGAACTCCTTTCTAAGTTCCATTGATCAAATCAATCTGCTCTAGTTGTGACTTCCCACTGGACTTTGGCCATTAAGTAAATTGGTCCCTTCTTTTACATCCGGTGTTGCTGTGGTGCAGTACTACTGGCAGTAGTCTATTGACATGTTCAGAAAAGCATCAAATGATTATGTCTGCAAGGTATTTGATTCTGTATCTTCTCACTGGGTTCTTAGATTAAGCTTGCACATGTCAAGAAAATTGAGTGGCGGCAGCTATTTTTAAAAGAAAGGCACAGCCAAGCATAGAAATGCACATCTCAAATTCCAAAAATGTATGGGCTGAACTTGGCAAGAATGTGCACTTATTTTAAATTACCCTTTGTGACATGCTCCATAACTTGATACCAGTACAAATAAATATACAAAGTTGTTTCTGGTGGGACATTCTAATCTGTGAATCTGTCCTAAATTTAGCCTTGAAAGAGGTGGGCTATGCAAACTCAGGTATGTCAACTTTTGGTCCTGATAAATACCGTGACCTTTATTTGGAAAATATCTGAAGAGCTGTATAAGAACCACTGTGAATGAAAACAACGATGACTGCTAAGCGTAACTGTCTTCTTTTTCTCTTTCTTTCTTAGAGCTGAACAAAGTGACCACCCTGCATTTTTAACACAAAAAAGGAATTTTTTATTCCTCTTCATGAAGCTTTTGGTGGAATTCCCTCCCCCCATTTTTAAAATCAATAATTAGCTGTATTGTTCAACTCATTTTTCCCTAAGGTGCCGAAATGTCATCATCTTTTACTTGAAACACTTGAATCTCCTTTATATCCACCTCCAGAGGAAAGTGGAAAATCATCCCATTATAAGAATTTGACAGTCCTGTCATTCCCATACAGTGAGGGATGGAATCTAATGACAACGCTGGAAGTCAATATTAAACACTGAGGCTTGCTCTTTCAACCAGAGTCAGAACACTTTGGACTGACTGCAAAAGTACTAAGCCCGAACAGTAAAACTAAATCAAACTGGATATACTTGATTCTAATACCAGCTTTAATATGTTCAGTGCAGTACTTCTGGGGAAAAAAGTAATTGCTTTTAGACTTGGGTCAAGTACCAATAAGCATAAATCTTACTTTGTCTAAAGAGCAATGCTGGCATATTGTTGGAACCCCATGATCACCAGCATTCTATTGCTTCATCCAGAAGCTGACAGCAAGGAATGAATGTCACATCTAGTTTCAAGAAAGACTGTCATCACTAGTTCAGCTGGTGTTTGTAATCTGATGATGATAAAGTCTTAAAAACTTTAATTTGTTTACTGCTTACTTTTGTATTTAGCCAGTGGTAAATATTAAAGCAAGGGTCAAATTGGGTAATTCAGATTTCATATGATTGTATGGAAATTGCATTTGCCCTTGTTCTGTAAAGCAGTTTACAAGAGCATTTTGAGGATTAACATTTCACTCTGCCCTTTAGTTGCCAGACAGAAAGGAGGCATCTAAAGGAGGCAATACGTTACATTATGACTGTCAGAATTTCCAATAATTTCCTTTTGCAAAGCCATTCTCTTAAGGCAGTAATGGAACAGGACACTCAATTTTTTTAAAAGAAATACTATTGAAGTAGAATTGAAATTTTAATCGCTTGACTCTCTTATCACCTATTCTAGAAAGGCTGCTTTTGTCACTGTTTAAACAGAAGCACAAATCTATTACGAGCTTTCTTTTAAAAAAACACTCTTTTACATCATTACAACATCCATCTGCCATGGCTAACGACTCTCCAAGTTGCATACACCTAAGAAAGTACTAAAAGCATTTTTCCGCACCACACACAAAACAGCCATCCACTTTTTCTTCAAAATCAACTTTATTAAAGTGCAACCAAGGCTAGGGGTGTGATTTTACAGTCCTCTTGGCAGAGGGGGGTGGGGGGAAATAAAAAACCCTTTGATTTATTAATACAGAACATGTAGCCAATAACCCTTTTTTTAACACTGGCAATAAGCTTTTGTTAGAAATTCATCTGATGCCACAAGTCTTCAGATAGTGTTGTACTTGAAAATCCTACACTTGCATATGGAATGATTTGGAAAATTGCAGTACTTTGAACACTTAATGGTTTGTTAGGCTAGAGCTTCTCAAGGAACTATTTAAGGATTCAAATGTGCTTGGATTGGTTTGGGAATTCATTAGAACAGAGGCAGGCTCCCACCAGCCCTAGCCAGGGGACAAAAGGTGTGTTTGAGAAGAGGAAATAGTCCAAAATTTGGAGGGCCACATATTCCTCATTCCTGTGTAGAGACCTTAAAAATGATGCAAAATTGTAAAGTCACTGATTTTAATGTTTATGAAACTATTTTGCAAGAATTCAGATAGACTTCAATTTTAGAAAGCATATGGGTTATTTCCGTTGTTTTGAGGTGCTACATATAACATACTTTTAGCCCTCTTCATTTATCACCTATCTATTATAAAGGAAAAACACAAGCTTTACCATGGTTTCTTACAGCATAATTTAAAAAAGTCCCAACTTAGCTGTGTCTGAAAGTCTGCTTTGGTTAGCTATGAAAGATTAATTTGCATTGCCAGGACAGAAGCTATGCATGACCTATTTTGATGTAAACTCTCATGAACAGTATTTGAGCCACTTAGAGGAAGGAAGAGAGAACATATAACATGCTAGATGATGTAAACTGCAAGTTTCACTGTTTATCCCCACTGGCTATGGTGGCAAAAGCTAATAGGAATTAGAGAACCACACATTCACCATATCTCACTTGGACAGCAGTACTGCAGTTCTCATATTTCCATCTATAATGGTTCAGAGAATCTGTAATAGATCCAAACAGGCCAACTCAGAAACCTAAGTTAAGGAACTCTTCCTGTGGGTAGCAAAACTTGAGTTTACATATAACACAATCTCTTACTCAAATACTGTATTTTTGTCACTGGAGGTGGAGAGGGGCAAGGAATATCTCCAGCCTGTAGTCTGAAAAAACAGCCACACATGACTCATTTTATGACTCCAGATCTGCACCAGTTCCATTTTCTCCATGTTGCATACCAAAGATATGTTCATGTTTATTGTTTTAAGCTCGGACCCCACCCCATCCCTGTATCATACTACAAACTGCCTACCCTATATGAACATTACCCTGAGAGGTACTACTACCAGAGTATACAATATTGGTTGTAGTAGTTTTATACGAGACTAGCCCTTCTCTAGTGTTACTTAGGAAGTTTTGAAACCCTTGTTCAAAGCATCAGGCTTGTTGCCTAAACACACCAAAATTAATTAGAATAACTTAAATACATTTTATATTACAAGCTAAAGTCTCTCAACCCTACAACCAAGTCCTATTCCATTATAAACCCTAATAATATAAAATTTGTGGAAAATAAAAGCTTTTCATGCTAACCTGCTAGAAGTCAATATTCGCAGTTCAGTCTTATATCATGGAAGTAATGAGTGAAGAGCTCGATAGATAGTTCTCCACTTGTCTACTGTGACTCCCTCTTGACACACGGGTCAACACAGAAAACGTATGTGAGTGCTTTCCTCCAGTTCATTCTAGAGTAGGTTCCCATAATCTGCCATGTCCTGTAGAGAAGTACAGTGGGGTCTCTACTTAAGAACTTAATCCGTATTGGAAGGTGGTTCTCAAGTTGAAAAGTTCTTATGTTGAATCTGCATTTCTCATAGGAATGCATTGAAAACCATTTAATCCGTATCTACTCTTTTCCGTCCATAGAAACTACAGTGGAACCTCTACTTAAGAACTTAATCCGTTTTCGAATGGTGTTCTTAAGTTGAAACGTTCTTAAGTTGAAGCAAAATTTCCCATAGGAATGGACTGAAAACCAATTAATCCGTTCTGGCTGTTTTTTTGTTATGTAGAGGTGCGTTCGTACATTGAAGCATTAGTTCCCATAGGAACTAATGCAAAGCTGGTTAATATGTACTCTACCACTAGGGGGAGAATTTTTTTTTTAACCTAAGATGACCTAAAGTTAAAAAAAGAGCAGGAAAGGTTTTTTTTTTCCTGTTCTTATCTTGGATTTCTGTTCTCAAGTAGAAGCAAAATTTAGCAAATGGAGCTGTTCTTAAGTTGGATTGTTCTTAAGTAGAGACGTTCTTAAGTAGAGACCCCACTGTAGGAATTTGTGTTGGCTAACCTGGTAGAAAACCCAACAAGAGTACAGTGGTGCCCCGTTTGACGACGACCCCGCTTGATGATGAAATTGCTTGACGATGAGTTTTTTTACGATCATTCCTATGGGGTTTTTTGCTTTATGTTGATTAGGTCCCTGCTTCGTGAACCATTTGTTCGTAAAATGATGTTTTTTTCTGGCTCCGCAAAATGGCATCCCTGTATCATACTACAAACTGCCTACCCTATATGAACATTACCCTGAGAGGTACTACTACCAGAGTATACAATATTGGTTGTAGTAGTTTTATACGAGACTAGCCCTTCTAGCCCACTGGAACGCATTAACCAGTTTTCAATGCATTCCAAAGGTTTTTTTTTCACTTGACGACGATTTCGCTTAACAGCGATTTTCCTGGAATGGATTATCGTCATCAAGCAGGGCACCACTGTAGTTTATGTGTATTCTCAAAGGCTTTCATGGCCTGGATCCGATGGTTGTTGTAAGTTTTTCGGGCTCTTTCGCCATGTTCTGAAGATTGTTCTTCCTAATGTTTCACCAGTCTCTGTGGCCGGCATCTTCAGAGGACAGGAATCAGAAGAGTTCATTAGGAAGAACAACCTTCAGAACACGGCCAAAGAGCCCAGAAAACCTACAACAACCATCAGTAGTTTATTTCACTGGAGGAAGACCTCCTATACTGTGATTTAAGATTGTAGTAGACAAAAGTGGTGGTTGTGTGTTCAGACCCATTTCTACACTTCCTCTTGAACTTACTTTCTATTGACAATTACAGACTTTTCTATTATAATGTTAAAGGAATCCAGTTTAGGAAACCTTCCAAATACCTAAAACCAAAGATGACTCCTAAAACCAACAAAAACTCCCATAGTGCTTTTCTGGAAGTGGAGTCTTGGCAACTGGACTTATTTCTTATTAGGTTGAAACGTTTTGCTACTCATCCAACTGGCTTCTTCAGTCTGAAAAGAGTTGGTAGGAGACCCCTGATATATCCCCCACGTTTGTTTTACTTCCGCCTAGTCTGAATAGGCCTTGGTATATAGAAAATCCCTCACTCAATGGGTGGAGGCCTTGGATACAATCTCTCCTATTTATCATGCTCCCTTTTCATCTGTCCCCAGAAGGATCAGGACTACACCCACCAGAAATATCACTGTTAATGACCCATGACTGCAGAAGTGGGATTTTCACTCACCCCATCCTTTATCCATTAAGCCTATTCAGACTAGGGGGAAGGGAAACAAACATGGAGGATATATCAGAAGCCTCCTACCAACTCTCTTCAGACCGAACAACTTGGATGAGTAGCAAAACGTTTCAACCTAATAATAAATCCAGTTGCCGTAACTCAACTTGCAGATATAACCTCACCTGGATGACAGAGTCTTCACAGACAAACCACGTGATGTGGGTGGTTCCCCTCCACCCCAGACCTTCTCTAGCATGGGAACCTTACTTCTTTTTTAAAGCATCTCCAAAGCAACAGCTTGAGTATACTCATTCTTGGACAATAACTACAAAACAGAAAGTAGACAATTTTTTAAAATAAAGGAAAACAAGTTAAAAGCCCACTGAAACACACTGAGGCACTTTATTCTGAAAAATGGATAACAAACAGCACAGGGGGGGGAAGCATTGTTAAGTTACCTAATCAGCAATTCCAAGTCACCATGGCAAACTTCCCACTCTAACATTAATCAATGCAAATATTTCTGTATGACTATTCCACATCTTACATTTTAAGTAGGGATGTGTGTGATATCCGTATGACTGCTCATAAGCATTTGCAAAAACCATATATTCTGTCTGTGTATTCACCAGAGAGGTAAGGTTGGCAGTTACTCCCTGTGAAATGCACAACTGGTAGCAAACCTAGACTTCCTATCATGAAATGAGTGTGGGATGGCTCTAAGCCTTTTAACAGCTGGTTTGGTAGAAAGTATGCCACACCAGAGCAGATCCCCAAAGTTTTAAAAGGAAGTGTATCAGTATCACCTTTATGACTGCAAGAATCAAACCCTCACCCATCTCTACTGTGTTAGAGCTCACATAAACTAAAACAACCCTCAGCCACCACCAGAGATTCCCAGATGTCCCAAACAATTATGCCCACTGTAACTGTGAAAGAAGCCAGTTTTATACTAAATGGGATGCAGTGTCTGGAACAGGAAGTGTATCCCAACAAAACCACAATGAGCAATAGAACCAACTGTTAAGCAAACAGTTCGGGGAGAGAATTGCCAAGTATTACCAAATTAAACAGCAATAATTTCAGTTTTTTAAAAGTGAATGGATTCTAGTAATAATAAAGCTAAAGTTCCAAGAATCCTGGGAGTTTCCCTTTGAGTTTTGCTTTCCCTTTGAGTTGGTCTCTACTTAAAACTACTTCTGCTTCTTTGTAACTTACACAGTGAAAAGACCTGTAGCACTTTCTTGAGAAACTTATTTCCATTGCTCAGCCAGTGTTTCAGATGAAGCAAAGTTGTGTTTGCTTTTTATCAGTAAGGGCAGTTGAAGCAATCATTTTTCATTTTTATATAACAAGAAGATTGAGTACAGAGCATCCTAATGAGGCCACCTGATGCCCAGGGCTGGTTCAAGAATATAATAGTTGTTTATACAAGCACTGGAAAACAATAAAATCACCACTGTTACATGATGAGTATTATGCGCGAGCCTTTGAAATGGTTCAGATTTTATTTACATGAGTGGGAAGCTGGAACCACATCAGAGAAGCCTAAGAATTTCCTGATCATCGGATCTACAGAAGGTAACCAGAAAAGGCAACTATGGCAAGGAACAAGAGAAAACTACTATGCCGTCACATTCCTAAAGAGCAACATGTAGGGAATGGCCCAATTACTGTGTAGGGTCAGGCAGTCATATTTGGGCAACAGAAATGGGGGGAGGGCAGCATTTTATAAGAAACCAAGGGCAGTAGCTGGAGGAGAAGATATGTCTATATTATCCTAGAGCTGCTTGATAGGATGAGGAACATGGCCCTTTAGATGTTTTTAGACTGCCACTCCCATCATACATCACCAGTGGGTTTAATTGCAAAGACTAACGGGAACGGCAATCAAATCAAATCTGGATGGCCACATATTCCCCATCCCTGCAATTTATTACTTTAAAAGTATTACTTACTTGGTTTTCATTTTAATAAACCCTTTTCGGCACATCTCTAGCCGAACATAAATTACAGTAATCCTTAAAGAGCAGAAGTGTATCCCTGCTAGAGTTAGAATGCACTGGAAGTGCAGTAATATTTAAATTTCATTCCCGCCATATTAAAAAAACACTGTGATCAGAGGGATCTCTTTATTCCTTTCTGAGCACAATTATAACTAATTGGATTAAAAGTAACTTTCTGTATATAGCAATTATTTATCAAGTTAAGTTGTCCAAAATATTAGCTTTCATATCACCCTTCAAGATATGAAAATGGCAAACATCAGGAAGGTGTAAGGTAGACCTAGAAAAACTTACTTTTTGACTACAAAACCCACAGTTGCCCAGCCAGTAGCCATACTGGTGGGGATCTGAGGAACTATAGTCTTAAAAAGTTATTTCTCTAAGCTCTGAACAGTGCTTTTCAGGTTAAACTATTTGAATTGGGCTTTTTTTTTGTTTGACGAGTGCATATGACTTGGTAGTTAATGGTCAAAATCAGTTCTAGACTAAATGTGTTACCCCTCTGAATGGGCTCAAAAACAAAACAGAAGAGCTGGGTCAATGGATGATTACATTTGTATTTCACAACAGTTTTGGCTTATGCATGCTGAGTAATATTTCCATCTTGTGCATCCATTGAAATGGTGGAAGTACGAAAGGAGTGTGTTTTCCCTAACTTAAGGTAAAACAGATAAAGTAAAGCAAGAACAGGGAGAGAAACTTAAGTGCAGTGGGGATCACCAAAACGACAAACTGTAGGTTACAGAAGAACATTACCTTTCCCAAAACTTAACTCCTATTTGTGAGTATATTGCTTTCACTGTTGCATTACAGACCTTGGAGAATTTAATTAAAGAAAGACAATATTTGGGGCACAGAAAAGGTATAAAGTAAAGAGGTATTGGATAAGCACTACCCCCTGGGTTTGAAAGGGAAGTAGATCAAGAGGAGCAGTGCAGTACCTGAGGAAGCTGAGACAACAGGGAGATCAGCCTCATGCTACAGGGTAAAGAACCTCTCAATTCAAGAGGTGAAGAGGGAATCAAGAAGCTGCAATAGCAGCTATGTAAGGGAAGCTTCCAGAGAGTAATCAGGTCTTCCACTCCCCTGGAATTTTCTTCTTCTAGTTTCCAGTGTACAAGCATACCCAATTCTCAGTTATATTTGGACTGATAAATGTGCAAGGGTTTTCAAAATGACACCCCAGGTACGTTGGACAGGAAGATTCAATCCCAATCCATTAACAACATGATTGTCCCCTCTGCTCAGCGTTTCTGTTTACCCTTGCCCCATCACCCTGTATGCTAAATGACTTTCCCATTAACAGCAGGCACCACAACCTTCAGTCAATGCAACTAAGTGTGGATCCAGGTACTACCCTCCTTGCAGAGGCAAGTCCATTACTTCCTCCTGAGCGCCAGCGCTACACCCACTGCTACAGCCAGGATGGCCACTGCAGCTGCTCCACCATACAGCAGAATTGATTTGCCTTCTGGCAAGAGGATAGGTTTCTCTTCTCCAGTAGATGTTTCCTTTTCTTGAGAAGGGCTCTCCTTTCCTGCCTTCCTTTCTTTTTCTGGAAGCAATATATTCTCAGGTTTGGGAGCCACCTTTCCTTCTGAAGGAGTCAGTGGCTTGGCTGGTTTACTTAACACAGAAGGTTCAGGTTCAGGTACTTCCAACACCTTCCCTTCCTTCTGGGGTTCAGTAAGTGAAGGTGTAGAGGAGGTTGGCTTTTTAACTGCTGCAGATTCAGCTTCTGACTCCATCATTGCAGACAGAGCTTCTGGAGAGCTCAGCTTGCTCGGCTCAATCTGTACACCTGCTTCTAACGCTGTTTCCTCAACTCCCTCTGGTATCTCCTCCTTTTCAACATGTACAATGTCAGAGTTTGAAGAGTTATTTTCACTCCTCTCTTCGCCACCTCCGTTGCTGTCCAAACTCTTCATTTCCTCAGGATCCATAGCTACTTGTTGCCACGATTCTGGGCCCAAAGAGACTGGCAAGCTTTCTGTATGCCAGCTCTGACTAGCTGATAAAGAAACTGGCAAACTCTCTGATTGCCAAGATGTTGTCACTGTGGGTGACTCAGGAGGGCTCACTTGGCCGGAGTTGTCACTAGTTAGGATGTAAATGTCATTGCTATCTTCAGCAATGATTCCATGGTCCTCTTCTTCTTCAGAATCCAAACTGAAGATAGTACCCTGAATGAGAAACACATACAGTCAGCAAAAAGTGCATAGTATCACACTATACATCCACACGACAGGCATAAATACTGTGGAATATAAGCAAATGAATTTTTATAAGGGAAAAGTTTGTCAGCATGATAACATTAATACGGAACCAAAAAGAAACCAAGACAGTTACTAGAAGTTAACCACATGAGAAATTATGTGAAATGGGTAGATTTCCGTGAAGAGTCCATTCAATCAACATTTTAAGGCGAGGAGGCTGAGAAAATTTGGAATTCTTTTAGAGTTATAGGCCAAAATCCTATTGGGACTTTACTCTGGATAAATTGCACAAGTCATGGCAGCAAATTGCATCTAGGTAACAAGGTGGTTTCACTTACACTAGTGAAAAGTCCCAATATGATTCTGGCCATAGTTTAACTATTAGTGAAACTTAAATATGGTATCTAAACTTAGGAATGATTTGTTGAGTTATTCTTTTTTTCTTCAATGCATGCCACTAAATGAATTGTTCATGTATATTTTCAAATGATTTATATCCCAAAGCTGCATAGTCCAAAACACTAATTGTAATAAACCAATTCTTTCCTTCCTTTCTGTTTATAAATCAGATTCTAAATTTGACAGATCCACCTATTTTATTAAATGCAGCGTTTACCTGGGAAGGTTTTCAACAGGAGCAACCACCTGCCATTTTATAACTTTTCCTGCTTTCATGGAAGCAATAACTTTGAGTAGTCTCTCTCCCAACCACAGCCCCTAAAGATGTGATTCGGAAATTCTAAGTAAATAAAAAGCTAAAGGGGATCTCGCTCCAAATACAAAGGCAGAAAATAGTGAAGATATACCATAAGAGACTGACTAAAATCCAAAAGTAAGCTGTAACAAGAGTAGGCCCATTGAAACAGTGGGGACTTGTACTTGTATGCTATCAGACAGAATGAGAACATTCAGCCAGATTTTCCACATGAAAAAAGCCTGTTGTTCTTGAACCAGAGGCTGTGTCAGCAAACTATCTCTTCCCCAGTTCAGGCTGTGAAGACATCCTACTCCTGGAGGTCACTATACTTGTACCTCACAGGCAACGTAGGAAAGCTGCCACCCTAGCATTATTTAATCAGCAGTGATTAATGAACCAGACTAGAGTAACCATCATTCTTGTTTTTTTCAAAAAACCACTGTGCTGCAAATAGTATCTAGGCTGATCTTCAAAATAAATGTAACTGAACCCTACTTCAACAACTATGCCCTAATGATGATCAACATGACATAAAAAGAAACAGTATAAAATCATCAAAATATTTTTAGATTTCATCATAAAAATAGTGATGTAGCAATCCCATACATGTAGCAAGTGCATGTTATGGCTGATACCAATGTAATTACGAAAGCAGGTGGTCGAAGTTTGAAATGCCTCAAATGGAAGATCAGCAAAGAGAAGCCATTTTAATATTCCAAGAAATGTATTATTCAGATTTATTTGAGATTTCAACAACATTCAATCCTCCCTTTTAAAACTTCAAATTTTCTCTATTTGTATAAATGAAACATGATTTTGATACCAGTATAGAGAGGGGAGGTCAAGCTACGCTGGCCACAGAAGCATTCGTACATCATTCAGGCGAAGCCCTCAGAATTTCTGCTGATGGCTGCCTTTCATATCTATCCATCTGTGCTAATGGAATGTGGCACATGTAGAAAGCTGTATCAGGGTTGGATGGCTGCCATACAGAAAGTAATTACCCAGTAAATCCCCACCCACCCTCTCTCTGTGCTGATCAAGCTGTCTAATGGGCTCAGTGGCTTGAAAGAGGAAAGTACATGCTATTCTGTCATGAATTGCTCAACCCACCATTGCTTAAGCATGCGAGAGGAAGCGGAGGAAAACAGCATTGTAATGAAGATATCACCTTGAGGAAGAATGTTGGTATCTTTGTATTTCCTGCAATAGGTTGGTTGACAATCAAGAATGATTAAACATTGGCAGGTCAAGATAAAAGTGAGGAAGCAGGGAAATGCTTTGCCAGTAAAGGTATGTTAGTATTATCCTTTCCTGCGAGCATGCTTCACCACAAACAGTTATTCTGCAAAGCTGAGTCACAACCATTATTACTCTCCACTGCCACTTTGCAATACCACACCCATACACACCCAGTATTATTAGCCCCATACTGCATGTGTCTAATGAAAGAGACCACTGGTCCAGGGAACATAATCCTAGAACAAGGGTGGGCAACACATGTCCCATGGGCTCCACTGCTCCTTCTTGTACTCTCCCACATCACACCCTTACAAAAACTGCTCCTAGTCAAATTTTGGTGAAGTGCAAAATATATTTCTCCACAGCAAGTGCACATACCAGAACCATGTTCCCAAAAGTAAAACTCTATATGCTTCTTCCAAAAGTGGCTTTTACCACTGCAGGTGCAACAGCAGCAGCCCCTAGAGGCCTAGAGGTTTGATAGCTTTTGATGACAGACTCTCCAATATTTTTATTCTTCAGAGGCCAAGGTATTTACAATGTTTATAGCATAATATCGACACTATTTATGGCAAGTCCATATATATCAACAATACTGTTCTCATCTGGTCAAACAAAGGTTATCAGATGGATGTGTCAGAGCTTTCATCAATAATTTACAAAGAATTATGGAAAATATGCTGCCATAGAGTAAGTAGCTGTGAAGTTTATCTTGGACCATGTCAGATCTGAAGGCCTACTCAAAGGGTTTGTTCCCCACTTCAGCTTTGCACAGAAAATGCAATAGCGTTAGTTGGGTAACAGACACTTCACCTCTAGAAGACTGGAACAAAAATAGAAGCAGCCTCAAAAGAATGAGGAGTACATGTCAGGAAGGAAGGTCGAGACATAGAAGAATGTTGGATAGTAGTTTCCTTTCTCTAAGGAAAGTTGGAGATGAATGGTGTCTCTGTCATGTAGCATACAGTGACATAAACAAGCAGAAGATCACAGAAACAAAGTATTTGGGGGTGAATATTTAACCAACGGTCTGTCAGCCAATCTCCTCTTAATAACATTTTAATGCTCGTTACCTGCCCTGAGAACCAGGGTACAGTACAATCTTGCTCCACAAAGGTTCCAATGTACACTGAAAAATCACAGGAAGTGTTCAACTATTTCAAAGCAGCCACCAGGATGCTTAAATATTATGTAAGTAGTCATATCATGCTCATTAGTTATATTGGCCTTGCCACCAAGAAAGAACATCTTCCCCCTTTTCCTTAGAGAAATTTATTAAAATTGTGTGGACATTCATTCTATAATTATAACTTATGTAAGGAACCCAAAAATACAGGCTTTTCATTCTCAAACAAGGAGTTATATACTGTATCATCAGAATAAAGCCCAATAAAATGCATTTTCAAGCAACATGGGCTTTAAAGGGTCTTACAAATATAATCAGCTACAAGTAATGTTAATATCTACCATCTACGGACTTTTGATAAAAGTCAGTAATATCTCACAGGTGAGCAAAGATCCAGCTAATATTGTTCCCCATATTCCTTCCAACAAGGATTGTCTTCAAATAATATCAGCTGACATGTTCTTCTGTCTGATTTCAATACTTCCTTTACAGATCCAAATTAAATCTGGATAAATTACACAGTTTTTACCCTCTTACCAAATGCCTTCTACTTGTAAAAAAAAAACAAAACCCACACCTCCAATAAGGCACGTTCCTATTTGATACAGAACTGTATCTGAACATTTCTGCCATGTCATTCTGGAACCAAAATTCTGGAACAGCAAACCAAGCAATATTTATTTTATTTACTGGATTCATTGTTGGAACATCTCCACTGCCTTTCTCCCCAAAACATCACACAGTAATACTGAACGGAGGACAACCAAAAGGCTTTCTTCAGCAAAGCATTCCATTGTCATAGCCTGGTAAGGAAAACCAAGGTGCAAGAACCTAATTGTCTTTATAATAGAAATGAGATAATCCACATTCATGTAGAAAAAAAGTTTCCTCAGATACTTCTGCAAATACAACTTGAAACAAAACCACTTTGTATGTTCAGTTTTGGACACAAAACACTTTGTTTCATCAAGTCAAACAAAATAGCAAGTTTAAAAATTAACTCCAAAGCTAAGGAAACTTTTCTGTCTTCCAAATCTTTTCTGCAAACTCAACACAAATCCCAAGGCAAGAAACACTTATTAATTTGACTGCAGAATCAAGTTTGTCCTTTACAAATGAAATACATATTCTGAATTCTAAAGATATTTGATTATGATGTAAAAACTAATACTGTGAAGCAGCACAAGCCAGATGCAGGTAGGTGACAACAACCTTGAATTCTAACTTTCAAGCAACATTTTAAAATCATTGTTATTCCTCACAGATTTTTCACAAGTCCTTTTCAATAGAAAAAGGCCTGGAAAAAAGGGCAAAAACACTGTAAACTGAAAGATACTTTGGTAAAAAAAAAATCCTTACCCTAAACTGCCTGTTCTTACTCTGCACTTTTCCAGAAGAAGCTTCTGATGCAGCAGACGCAGCAAACAAGAGAGGGAGAGTGAACAGAGGAAGGAAGAAGGATTGTGCACACTGCACATCAATTTGTTTCTGCCCTAATACAGCTTCAGGGCAAGCTGAGGAGCTTAGCTGCTGCCAAATTAGCATAGAAGTTTCTGCTTTGATTCATGGAAAACATGGAACATTTTTATGACTCTTGCAATGTTAAGGAGAACGGCACCTACAAAAATGGTACAAACAAGACCTCTACATCTTAAAATCACAATTTTCAGACCTACCAGTTAATTCTAAGAAATCTAAGATGTGCTTAATGGCAAAGTAAGAAGCTCTGTTTATCACTCCTCAACCATTTGTAGCCTTTAAAACCAAGCTAAAGACATACAGTAGTGCTCATAAATAAGTTGAAATAAGCATTTCTGGCTTATTTCTGACTTATAAGAACTCCATTGATGACTTTAGACTGATAACACTGGGAACATTCTGCCCGAAAGCTCCTTTAGACAGCAATTTTCAATGTTACTACAATGTAAACAGATTTTTACAATGTGTGATGAAGATTTCAAATATTTAGCTTCAAGCATCTCATTCCTCTTTTCTAATGTTATATAATGGCTATTTTCACTAGTTCATCATTTTATGTTCTGTGTACACCAAGTATCTCATTGCATTTGGAATTTCTGCAGCCATTCAAACATTCTGCTATTTTGGCCTCTGACTCTAAAGTAGAAAAATTCCTTAGCTTTCAAAAGATGTTCCCAATTAGTCATCTCATATTTACATCCTTGATTCCTATTCCCTGGGCTGGTTCAACGTAACTAGCAATTGGTAGATGTGCTCAAGCATCCCAGGGAAACGCCACAGGCTACTACATTTCTACCCTATCACTATTAACAAACAAACAAAAAAATTTATTTTAAAAAAACTATTAACAAAGATCCGCAAGATCATCTACTATGTTTTCTGAGTTTCCAAACAGCACTGATTAAGTTGGGGTTCAAATTTCACACAAAGTTTCTGGCAAGTTTAAATGCAACAGGGACTAATGCAGTATAAGAAAATTCTAACTATGAAAAAATTCATTTCCAAGCAAATCAAATATTTGTTTCTTAAACACACATGAAACCATGTAACAAATGAACAAGATATATGAAACTAAACACAACACAGTACACAAAAATATGCATTTAAAAATACCTACACTTTCAGCAAAAGCCTTGTTTTCCTTCTCAGAGCAGTTAATCATGTCAAATTATTCCGTTAAATATGAATTATCATCTCAGTTCCTTCCTCACCTCTCTTGTACAGTTTCAAAAATAGGTCTGGCCTGTTGGCTATGCAACTTCTGTCAGTCCAATTTTATGCCTGGCTAAAGGTGAATAGATAAATGCATGGTTCATGGAACATGCAACCAAACTACAAACAGAGCCACAGAGGGAACACTCCCTCTCTCTTAGAAAAAAATTAGGATCTTGCATTTCAAAAGCAATTATGTGCCTTAACATGTTTGTTTATAAAAATGGTTAAGACAAACATGAGAAATAGACGTCTTTGATGAGTACCAGCAGATCAAAATCAGCTTTCTTATGGAGGGAATTATAGCAAGAATGATGATGTCTGTCTGAAAAAAAAAAAAATCCTACTGACATGTTCACAAGTGATGCAGGAATCCTGGTACGTGATACTAGATATGAATGTTAAAAAGATTAAATATATTCATTTAATGTTGCAGCAGGAAAAGAAGTGCTTATTCTCATCATAAAAAGAAAACAAGGAAGAAGAGGGTGAAAAAAATTAAGAAGTTAGCACATAGGACTACTGCCTGCATCTTCCCAGTAACCTTTGAAGAACCAAAATGTAATGTGTAAAATGTCACTAAAAACAGGATATTAGTACAGCATTTTTGCTCTCTGGATTTTGTAATCACTGACCAGCTTTACTTTCAATAAAACCAACTTGGGAGTCATTTCAGTAATCCGGGATTAATTCTGTTTAAATCTGGGAGTGTTCTTCCTCCCACAGAGGAATAATCTGGATGCCCGCTCAGTTTTGGCTCAATCATCAAGTTGCAACAGACAGATGGAAAGAAAAGAGACTGCATATTTTAGTGAGTTCCCCACAGACTTTCAAGAATCAGCTTTAAAATATTACCTCAAGCAGACCCCATTTCCATTGAAAGTAGTTCACAATTATGATATAGTTAAGATCTGCTTCCAAAAAAAGCAAACATTAGACTAGAATGCACATAGAACATGCAATGTTCTTGCTTCACATGAAGACTAGTAGAGGTTACTTTGCCTTTTTAAATCATTCATTTAACCATCCGGCATATGGCAACTTCATTCTTCAAATGACAGTGTGGATCTTGAATTCAACTGCCAGCACAATCATCAAAGCTGGATCATAAAATCAAAAATGGGAATCAATTAGCACTTCAATGAAAATGCTGACAGCAGTGTGACCCCTAAAGATCAGTGACTAATTTAAATTAAAGCCAATTTTCAACAATATCTTCTCTTCTCTGCTTCTGCCTCCTTTATTATCCTTGTGTATTTATTTACACATTTTTTCACAGAAAAAATCAGGACTGCTTTGGTTGTTGTGGGTTTTTCAGGCTCTTTGGCCATGTTCTGAAGGTTGTTCAGAACACAGCCAAAGAGTCCGAAAAACCCACAACAACCATTAGATCCCAGCTGTGAAAGCCTTCGCGAATACAGGACTGCTTTCTTTTGAACTTCAGTATTATAAATCTTAAATGGTACTGCTGCAAAAAGAGACACATTTGAACTTGTATCAAGAGGTATACCAATTCAGACATTAGCGCTCTTACCCATCCACCTTGCTGGATGATATAATCTGCAGCAAAATCCTCCAGATAGATTACTCCAAAATTTGCCAGCACATGAAGTGGCTCCTGGCCTCGCCTTGACAGCTCCATTAGAAATTCCTGAAGAATCACCAGAGGCACTAAAACCTGGGAAACAAAAAAGAGAGAAGGAGAAATGATAAAAATCATAGCACTTCAGAATAATAATAAGATTTTCTTCCTGAGTCTTATAAATCTATCCATTACACAAGCACCTTTAATTCTATATGCACACCCAGAGGCAATATTAATCTTAATGCACCAGAAAGGACATTTGACTTCATTAGAGTCATGCTTTGTTGCAGAATCTACACAGAACTAGACGCAGAATTAGGCATTCTATGACATTGCCATCTGCAGAGTTGTGAATAATGTCCCCAAATTTCAGCTAACAAACAAATAAAAAAAACCAAGCTACAATAAATGCTGTACCAACAAATCTATTACATTTTTGCCACTGGGATATTTTTCTTCTCAATCAGTGTAATATATTGGGACAAAAATGCCCTGTGCCATTTGTGACAGACTACTAACTTCAGGGAGTCTTGCTCTAACCACTGAGCCACACTGCTCTCTTAATTCTTGAGTAAGTCCAGGAGAGTTAAATGTGGTGATGGCTAGGGATCCTGCCTAGTCCTATTACCTCCCAATACTCTAGCCTGACCTGATTAAACAGTGCTTTCAGGGAATTCCAAAAAATTCACAAAGTTAATCGCTCAGGACGATTATGCTAATGCTGCAAGGTAGAACTGTCACCACACGAACAAAAGTACAAACTCCCAATAGCTGGTAAAGGCAAGACTTGGTTTGAGGTACCACAAACCCTCCTCAATTGAATGGATAAGTCTTTATGTTGTATTGAAAATAGTGATAAAGACAAAAAGGCAAAAAGTTCAAAAGGTTTCAAAAAGCCATAAACAGTATTTGAAGCAAATAATCAATCAGAATCTAAGATTGAAGCAATACAGTGGAATACACCTGAAAATAAGGAAACTATCTAAACTACCTAGTACTCACACACTACTATAGCATCAGCGTAGTCTTGGCGCATGCACAAGAGTGCATCCCTCTCACAATGGCATAATGGGATAGCCACTGAGCACAGTGTCTCCTAAGAGATAAATAAGTCAACTCAAACATCTTCTCAACCTCTTGTATGTCCTAAACACCACATTCTTGATGTTTCTAGATGGTCTGCCAATCAGATTAAGTTCTCGCAAATGTTCATGAAGACAAAAACATTTTCTGCCCCCTCCCTTCCCACAGCTAAATCATTTTCTAATTAGAACAGTACCAGATAGAATACATGTGGTACTCTCTATTCCATTTCTGGAAGAGCCTATCCACCCGCTTTCTTTTAGCCAGTTATTCTCAGACCTTGACAGAAAGCCTGAATTTTCCAGAGAGGTTCCAAACCTATTTTCCTCAATTTCTCTCTTCCTTCACACATTTTTTTGGTAAACCATAATGTCAAGAAGCAGGCTTTATATACACTGTCAGTAGCCTGGCCTCATTCAAGAAGAATACTGTGAATTCTCAGTGGATTCTACAGATACAGGTCTGTACGCTAAAGCTCAACCCTAATCCCCAATATGTTAGCATTCTCATGAAAACTCCAACAATCATGGCCAGATGTCCATGCCAGGATCCTCTGTTAAGAGTGAATTTCAGAATGGGGTCTGAAAACTAATAGAATTGGACAAGACCCATAAGGCCATAGAGACCAACCTCTGTTCAATGCAGGAATCTAAGTAAAGACATATCTGACAATGACTGTCTAGCTTTCTCTCGAAAGCCTCCAGTGTTGGAGAGCTCACCAAGGTAACTGGTTCCACTGTCCTACTACTCTGGTTAATTTAAAATGGCAAAAGTATCTTTTACAGATGTCTTCTACCTACAGTGCTTCCACCAGCAGTATCTGCCTTTGAAACACAGTGTGGCTAAGATGTCTGAAACATTAGAACACCAGAATTAATCTCCATAACATCATGTCTGAGAAACAATTCATTCTGAACTAAGACACTATAATCCTCAGTCTCTCTCTTTCTCTTAAAATAATAATGTGCTGTCAAGTCAATTCTGACTTATGTTGACCCTTTCCAGGGATTTCTAGGTAGAATAGTTGAAATGGTTTACCATTCCCTTCTTTTGGGGCTGCCCAGCTTACCCATAGCTGGCTCTACTCAGTGGAGGCACAATAGGGAACTGAAGTCCTAAACTCTGGCTCCCTCTCAGGTTCTCCCTATTACACGAAGATAAACCTAACCTCAAAATCTTTTAGGTTCAGAGAAGGCCTTGGGGGCAACAGGTCCACATTATTCTGCACCTTGTCTAACATGCATTATTCAAGAATATCTGCAGTGTTTAGGTATTTTTACAGTGTGTTTCAGGAACAAAGGTTCTGTTACAGCCATACACGGGTAAGATAATAACTATGACTTGGAATATCAGATGCAATGCAGTAGCCATCTAACACAGGAGTGTAAGATAGACCAGATATGATCTCCCTTCCCATAACCAGGCTTAGGAAACGAGGTCCTATTTGCTGGTATGTGAGGTTGTTCCTAAGCTTAATTACTACACTAGAGACTGATTTCTTTGAGGGCAGAGGGCAGCTGGGGGTGAAAATGTAGACCTACATATACCGATTGAACATGCTTTCCCAAACTAAATCTGTGCTCAGAAAAGAGGTCAATGGGGCTCTCAGTGTATTGTCAGGGTACTGGCTGACAGTTTCTTTGTCTAGCTAAATATGCAGGTGGTTACCTTTCATGCCTAACGTGATTTAAGACCATATTATCTGAGGACTGCTCCACACATACGTACCTGTGCCCTAATAATGACCACAGAAGCCTTGCTTTCACGCCCATTAACATTTGTGAGTTGTTACAGACAAAAAACAGAACTTCATTTTGCTGCTTCTCTAGCAATATTTTAAAAGGCTTTAAAGACATAGTTATTTTAATTTGATTTTAGGTGAATAATGAGTTTTCTGATTCATAATTTTAACAGTTGTTTTTCCACTATGTGTTAGATCAGGGATGGGGAACAGGCACATGGCACAGTGGTTAAACTGCTATACTGCAGGCAAAACTGTGCCCATGACCTGTGGTTCAATCCCAGGTAGATAGCTGGCTTAGGGTTGATTCAGCCCTCTATCCTTCTGAGGTAGGTAAAACAAATACCCAGCTTGTGGGGTGGGGGTGATGGGGGCAATGTGTAGCCTGCATCATTAATATGTAAACTGCCCAGAGAGTACTTTAAGTACTATGGGGTACTTTAAGCACAATATACGCAGCACACTTTGCTTTTGCTTTATAACACCATTTTCCCACAGAAGAACTCTCTTAGAGGCTACATACACTGACATCAGGTAAGGTTGAAGTCAAAACAAGGCAGGGCCAAAGGAAGCTCTGGGCCACCCATTTTCTCTCTCCCCTTTTCACTATCACTTCTTATTTCTCCCTCTGAACAGAAATTACACTTAGACAAAAAAATCCCCTTGGTATGCTAGGGAAGGGTGACTGCTAAAGTGGGATAAATTGCAATGTGCAATTAGAGGCTTAAACAGAGAATAAAGCTTCTCAACACATTCAGTATAAAGTACTGATAAACGGGGTTTCACCACAGCCTTCTGTGTAACAAAGCAGTTGGTTTCTTGTGTAAAACTCCTGAGGATTTATTGAGAGCTCATTGCTTCTACAGCTCAAAGACAAAAATGTAAACACTATGTATCAACCTACAGTGGGTTTATCTTAGCTAAGTATTCCATCTGTTTCCAAGTTGTTTACATAATCAACACTTGGACTGTTCACTAACAATGTAAATTATTTCATTTGGTTCCCACTCATACAATCATGCATACTGTACAAATAAACCTATAGCCTAAAATTTCTATTCTATGTGTTTAGAAAAGCAGATTGTAAAAAGCAAATATTCATGTAGAAATATATTTGTTAGCTCTGAAGATGTCATAGGACTTTGTTTTTGCTCTACTTGCTTTTGTTTGTAACAAACTTGCACTCATGTTAGTTCAGTGCAATAAAAACAGCGTCCTGTTGTATCTTAAAGACTAACAAATTTATTATAGTGGGACTCTTCATAGACTGTAGTCAATAGAAGTTTGTGCTGTAACAAATCTGTAACATGGTACAAACTCTGCTGTTTTGCTTTTCTTTCTGTTTTGGTCCTTTAGAAATACTGAACAGTTTAAAAATAATTTAGAGGCCAGAACAACAAATCCTTCCTTTTCATTTCCTATCAAATGTTGTTGTCTTCAAGGTAGATTTTTTTTTTAAAAAAATAGCTATTGGGCAAAACTAAAATTCCAGTGCAGAATGCCTCAACACAAAGCTTTTGCTGATGTGAAATAATCTTATTTTTAAAGAGCACATAACCGTAAGGATGATAACAGAAAAATTCCACAACCTGTAGTTGTTCCATTTGTTATGAACTTACCGGTGAAAATCTGAACATTCAGGCTAGCAATGGGCCAGGCACTGGAACCCCCATCACATGCAACTTAAGTTCCCTGGGGCCAAGGTGTTGTACAAGGATTTCACTGTCACAATGTCCATATGGCTACCCCTTGCTAACTGCTGGTCCACAGCAGCACACTTTCTCAGAGGTCTTTCTTGGAGGATGAGGGGCCACCTGGTACTTTTATATACCTTATGTGGGTCCCTGTGGTCCTATGACAACTTTGAATCCTCCTGGGATATCTGTGACATTGCTGTGCCCAAAATTTCCATAGAATGCAACCTGGGGAGGGTGGCATGTCCCTTTGAGGAACCTTTGATAGCCAACCTGTAGGTTCCTTCCTGCTGTGGTTCTTCAGTGCATAGTCCATAAGACGAGTATGAATAAGTACAGGTTCATCCATCATCTGTCCAAAGAGGCAGAAGTGAAGGGTGCCATTCTTCTAGCTCTATGCATTATGCCTCTTTGGATTACAGAGTTCAATTGGTCAAAACCTGAGGTGAGGGTGCGGACTTTTACAAACAAGTGTGACATCCTGTCTGCATTTAGGCTCCAGATGGTCCAACCCCAGGATTTCTGTTTACAGGCCTGCAGGTGCAATGGGGCCTAGTATACAGACATGCTCATGGGTTGTCCTGTGAACTGCTCAGCATTTCAGATCTTTAGCATCTTTGTACAGCAGGTAGTTAAAGGTCACTCTTAGACTCTTTCCCTCTAGTTTCCTACATCCTGGGTTCTCAGATGAGTCTTGGACTACAACTCCCAGAAATTTTGGCCAGCACAGCTAGTTGTGAAAGCTTCTGAGAATTTTAGTCCAGGAAAACCTGGGAATCTAAGGTTGGGAACCACTGCTCCCTCCAACGGGCTTGCAGCTGCTTACTGAAAAGCTGAAGACATTGCACACCATGACTGAGACAGTGCTTATATGCAAAAACAAAAGAGCTCCAGTCAATTCTACAATACTTTAATTTTGCCCACAAAATTTGCCCATGCAGAGCCTTTTGTGTAAAAATAGGAAGAGTCATCCAGGGACAGGGGGCCTCCATGACATTGCATTTATATAACAAGCTGAAAGAAGGAGGGCATTCAAGTCTGGCTAATATTTTTAAGCATTACTCTATAAGTACTGTACAATGTGGTGCAGCATTGACTTGGGGATGTTTCTCTTAAATGAATATTACACAAGGCACTGCCCATGATTCCACTGCGTAGAAGGGATCTTATGTGACCTTACCTTCCTGGAGCCTTTTTTCTCTATATTGGTTACTGTCATCAACTGGTAGGACAAATTCAGGGACAAAAATATGTTTTGAATGCAATCAACAGGAAATGTTTTGGACAATCAATGAACAGTCCTACTCAGACAGAGTTATGTGCCTAGTGGACCACTCTTTAAAAAAAGAAGAAAGAAAATGAAAATAAAAGCCAGAACTCCCAGGTACAGACTTCTATGTTTGCTTTAAATAGAAAAATCCTGTCAAACATATGTTATACTACAGGCAAGAAAATCAGAAATATACCTGTTAAAGCTGGTAAACAGTAAACATATAGTTAATTCAAATTAAAGCTGAGTTCATCAATACCTTCTGCCATCCACTGGCATGAGCTGATGCTTCCTGTGTCCTTTCTTTGTATTCTTGGTAAGTTACTGGCCTATATGAGTGAAACCAAAACAGAATATAAGAAGCAAAGGAAAGGCATCAAAACCATGTGACATATTTTTCAACCATTTTTGCACACTGTTGAACAAATTATACACACAAGAATGTCAATTCTATGGTTTCAGGAAGTTAATTTGATTTACCAATAGCAATAGATCATGTGGTTGTCTAGATGAATTTTAAAATATATTATGAAATGTAGACAAAAATGAACGAATTGCCATTTTGCCATTTAGCTGTTGATGACTTCTGTGACATTAAGTAAACAAGCTGGAATCATCAAGGCCATTAGGACATTAGGTAAAACTGAAGTGAGCATGCATGCATACACAGTAAAAGAAACTAAATGCTTATTATTGTATCTCAGCTTTCTTATAAGTTGTGCAGAGACATGTTTTCAGTTTCACATTCATTCCATAGAATGAGTCTACGGAACAATGACTTTCTTTACATTATAGCTGAATGATATATAAATCTTAAAAAGCCACAATTAAATAACAGTGAAAATTAACCTTCAAATTCATTCTCTTCCTACATAGTCAAGGAGACAATTTCAGGCTTTCAACTTCTGCTTTTACACAACTGTGGTTCCTTGTGATATCCAGAGTGAACTATGTTTAATATCAACTATAGTTATTTTCAAATAAAGGAAATTCAGACCATTGTTTTGGAAGTTGACATATTCACAATACGTTAACTGTAAATCTTGGTTCCAGTAACAAACCACAGTTAATTAACGGTGGAAGGAAAAGCATCTGACCTATTCAACAGCATAGAAATTGGAAGGAGTGTGTGCAAGAGCCCAACACTTATTACAGCCCATTCTTGCCATGATTTAAAATAGGTGTGAAGAACAAGGCTGAAAAGTCACACACACAACTCCTTACAATTTTACTTTTGAGAGAAGTCAAGAACCCAATGTACAACAGAATAATGAAACTCACAGTAATACACTAAGTCCCTTTCTATTTCCAGCTATGTACAACTATTCACTCATTAGTTGACACTAACACACACGGTAGCCAGAGTCTAAAAATACCTATATCAGAACCCAGACAAGTGTTGCAATAGACACACACTTGCACTACTATGGGCCTAAGCAGGCTTTATAGGAGAACAAAGCCAATTCCTAGATTCAAGCTGTGAGATATTCCTACAACTTTGGGTCTTCGAATCTCATGCTATGTCATAATCTGTATCACAAGAGAAGATTTAGTGTAAGTTAAGTCAGTGTCCAAACCCAAATGTCCTTTCCAAAAGTGTTCCTAAAATCTGTATTTTACCTGAGTCTCTGACATTTCAACCCTACTGGGGAGGATATGGTATGAACAAACCAGCTCCCATCAGGAAGGATATAGTACAGGTGAAATGCCATACATTTATTTTCAATTACAGTTCAGAAATAATAGCCTGGGTTTCCTTGTGCACTACTAATCTTCTTTGGGTATTGCCCAAATCCTTCACTAGCTACAATGAGATCATTTGCAGGCTTGATTGCACCTCCATGGATTGCACCTCTCTCCACACATGCCAAATTACAGTTTAGTTTAAAATCTAACCTTCCTTCCCTTTGTGGAGGACTAGCTTTTGATGAACATGCCTGATTCTGCAACATGCTCCCTTGTGAAAAACTCTAAGTATCACGCCAACTGTTCATTTAGCCGGGGGATGGGGGGGAGATTTGTGTGCAGAACTTCCTACATGAAGAAGGACCTGTTTCTTTAGTAGACAGGTTTAAATTGCAATTATCTCCTTAGTGAGCGGTTGTGATTTTTTTTTTAACATGTCTAATTAGAAATGGGAAAGTTGGCATGGCCAAGGTGTTGTCTGGTTATTTATACAAACATTTGAACTTGATCACCACTGATCAGTCCCCCCTCTGAAATCATACCATGGGCACACTGTTGCCCTGTTTTTCATACCTTAACCTCGAAAAGTAAACACTACAGTATAACACATACACCTATACACTGTGTTATTAAAGGTATGGAAAATCAGAAGTGAAGCACAGACTTTGTCAATATGTACAGCAGATTTGCAGCAGGATCCTACCCACAATTATAAAAGCATCACTTATCCAGCCCAATCAATCTGTAACTGGGGGAAAATTTCATTGTGTTTAACACACTGAATCCTTGACAAACAAAGCTTTCTTTTTCTTTATGAAACCAAAGAATGGTGCTCACTTCTTGTGTTTAGACAGTAGCTTAAGGTACAAAAAGGACACAGTGATATTCCACATTTTGAGGACACGGGAGCTGATCTGTGCTGTAAAATTCCTTACTTCTGGGAGTATATTTTCAAACATAACTTTATGTAAATTTGGATTTCTTTAGCAATTATAAAAATATGTACACATCTGCAGATAACTTAAAGCACTACTGGTATCTACATGAACAAATCTTGTTCCATTAATTTATCTTTCTGCTGTATGAGCCTATGCTACAAGATTTGATTTCCCTAGACTATTTCAGAATATTTGCAACACATTATAAACACACCTCAGTTATGAATGTCTATGTGCATATCTATACCTTAATCTGTAACTATATAAATATAGAAATACAAGTACACATGAGACTTAACAGGCAAGATAGTTGAAGATATGCATGCACAACCATTTAAACTCCAACCATAGTGGAGGTTTGTATTCATACGGAACTTTAAAAATCAACCTTTGAATATTAATGTGGACTTGAAAACATAAATCTTAGATCCTATGTTCCAAAGAATAAATTGCACATTCCTTCAGACTGTTGTTGGAATGTAGAAATTCTAAGGAAGCAGAATCAGTAGATTAAAACTACTCCATGTCTTGCATGCAACATTCATTCCTGTGTTAAAATGGCAGACTATATCACTCCTCATAAAAACAGTGAATGGAACAGAAACAGCTACAGTCTTGATAGAGTAGACCTATTAAAATTGTTCAACAAATTAGCAATGACACTGATTGGGCCTAATTTACGCATACGTAACACATTCAATGACAGTATGTTCTCTTTCAATACAATACTCAATGTGTAATATGAGGTGTGTTATTGTCGTCGTCATCATCATCATCACAGAACAACAATAACAGCAATATGCCATCTAGTCAATTCTGAATTATGGTGACCCCTTTTCAGGGTAGTAAGTTATATTATAAGCTTTTGAATGGATTTTCAAAGTCTTAGAATATATCATGTGACCCAGGACAATGTACACCTTTTGCTTATATTTTCAGGTGGAAATTTTGATCAATTTATTAAAAGATTACAAAATTATACTAAGCACAGAAGTATGTTTCCACAGCAGGAAAGTTTGCAGCAGAAACTGCTGATCAAGCTCCAGAGAAGCTTGATCAGCAGTTTGTTGTTCCTGTCACCTATGATTTCCTATCAACATTGAAGTATCAGACAAGAAAGCAATGAGATGTAACGGAATGGTTGATATCTTCCGGCATAAATATTTAGGTCCCTTCTTAATATAAAGGAGGCATGTGTATCCCAGTTCCAATGATTTCTTAAGAGAAAAATACAAAGTTATGTAGAAATTAGGCTGAACTTTGAACTTTTCAAAGCTTGAAAAATTCGCCAGTTCTTCCTCCGCTGTCCAGCAGGAAAACTGTACATTAAGACTGTTATCAATCAAAAAGGACCTAGAAATCTGCTACATATTAATCATACATACGCTTGCTGTATATTCTATGCTAGCAGTAGAATGAAGTGGTTGTTGTGGATTTTTCCAGCTCTTTGGCCATGTTCTGAAGGTTGTTCTTCCTAACGTTTCCCCAGTCTCTGTGGCCGGCACAGTAGAATGAAGTCATTTTGAGAACCAATTTCAGCCAAAAAGTAGTTTAAATGTAACAATATAAATAATCACTAGAAAACCAGCCATTTTGTATCTCTTTATGATTATTGACAGATTCCTTTCCGGGCTCAACACTAAGCATCAAACGCAACATACAAGAAGACTAAAGGTTAAAATAACATTCAAAAGTCAATCTAACATAAAGCCATAAAACTGGGCATATTTTAACAAGCTCTCATAAATGTTTTCAGAAGTAAAACTTCTAGCTGACTAAAAAAGCTATACATTGAGGGCACTAACTGAATGTCTGGATGAAGGCGCAAACAGATTATTGCAATAAAAAAAAGCACCATGATGAAACAGAAAGCTTTCATGGTTTACAACTAATGTCTGCCTTACGACTGCCATATATCCAATAGGTATACAATAGGCATATCTGGAAGTGTTATAGCTGCACTCACAGTCCATGTGAGGTATGAGCAGAAGCTGGTAAGCAGGGTGATAAATAGATATGTTTTGTGTGGAAGTGGTATAAGAGACAAAAGATGATGAGGTTGTTAGGTTGATTGCTCATCTGAGTTGTCTGATGGTGTGTGCATGTGTTGTAGCTTACTTGTTTAGTCGTAGCCATAGTGCTCTCTGGCAGTTACTGCTAAGAGGATGTAAACCACTGAGTTAGTTCGACAGAATTTAGCAGTTACCATGTGTACAGCTATGCTCACAGTCCCTGCAAGATGATAAGCAGAAGTTCATTAACAGGCAAAGTAAACAAGAGTGTTTTGCACTGAAGTTTGAGGGAGAGGCTCAGAGTGCTGTGTCACCACTGCCTATACAACATGCACGCTGTTGTTCTTTAGGGAGGACAAAGTGTTTATGGACAGAGCAGACTCTTTTTGAAAACCAACAGAGAACTGACTATCAAGCTCAGGATGCAAACACTAGGAAGAATGTGACACAGAAAGATGACTGCTAGGAAGCATGTTATGTCCTTCGACCCACACAGTCAAAAGCAGGCCCCTCCATGATTCTTAGTCACTGGAACAGGAACAGCAGAGTGATGGGAACAACTGGAAAAGTTTAACTTCCTGGACCATGATCTGTGCTTCCACAACAAAAGACTCCTGCCATTAAAATGGCTTGTACCTCCTAGGGGTCAGGAAGAATGTTTGCTGTGAGCCTTGCAAACCTGTTTAATATGGCTTTGAACGAAATCCTCTGAGAAAGCATACCGGGGAGGAAAGAGACTCCAGCTATTGCTGACAAGAGGGAACAGTTTATATTTCACATGTTGTTACACTGATGCACTGAGCATGGGAAACATGTAAGGTGAGCTGTGTGCTCTTCACACAGTGATGCAAATATATTTTAATAGTCATTACCAAAGCCTGGTGAGATTAGACTTTTGATTGGAAGGATACAATTCAAAAAGAATAGACTAAATAAAGAGGGATGAGGAGCATCACATTTTGAAGATGTGTGTATTTTCAAGGATATTTTTCACTTGAAGCACAGAAGGCTGGTGGAGAACATTAGAATAAAGAAGATGGGAGCAGCACTGACATCATTGTGGGCACCTACCATAGGTCTCGAACCAAACTGAATTACTTGGGCAATGCTAAACATTAAAGGAAGAGGACAAGTAGCAATGGGAGAATACAGTACTTTGATTTCTGTTGTAAGTCCATCTTGGTCAAGAAAGTTAGATTCTTTGCTTGTCATGCTAACAACGTTCTCTTTGAAGAGAGGGAGGGCATTGGCTATCTTTGAGCTGGTCTTCACCAACAAGAAAAACTGGTCAACAAGGTCAAAATAATAGCAACTGTTGGTGGAAATGCCCATATCCTTTTAGGATTCATTAAACCGAGGAAAGGAAAAGCTATTAGCAGTTATTATCTGGCAAATATTTTAGCTGTAAACACTCAAATCTGGAAAGGTGGGACAGGCTACCATTTTATCAAGCTCTACAAATAGCTATTCTTTTTTGTCTTCAGGACTAAGAATCACATATGAAGCCAGTCACAGAAGATGTAACTTGAGTTTGACTACTGTTTACTCTGTGTATAACTCAAGTTACATCTTCTGTGACTGGCTTAGAGTACACTGTGTATGCCCAGCTTACAAATCCAAAAGGGTTCATGGGCAGTAGCCCCATTTTATCATCTGTCTATATGGTAGAATACAATGAACAACGGAAGTATTTAGCAGATGAAGTGGGAATTCAAATGAAGGCATTTAGCTTGGTTAAGGAACAGCTATGTAGTGATTTCTCAAAGTGCATAATTTTTTGATGTACTGCTTTTACCATTTTTGTTTTCAGGATAGAGACCAAAAGCAAAGATGTGACACATGCACTCTTGTTTTTTGCTCTGAACTGCTTGTAATCAATGTATAGATAAAACTATTGGTCCATACCTAAACTACAAATTTAAACTATTTTAATTGTCTGAGCTTGCATGCTTCTATTACAGATATAGAAAATACACAAGCTAGGTGGTTCATATCCATAAGTGCTCCCAATACAAGTAGCAACTGACAACTAATGCAAAAACTGATTTATGCCAAATGTTCATGACAGTTTTAGAACAAGGACTGTTGAAGGAACTACTTATACATGTCACTACCTCTCAGTTTTGACCAAACTCTGGGAGGCAGTGGAAGACACAAGGGCCTGGCGTGCTCTGGTCCATGGAGTCACAAAGAGTCGGAGACGACTTAACGACTAAACAACAACCTCAGTAACTGAAATCCTGTTGTCTAGTGCAGTAAATCGAACTAGTAAGCCGACTGAATCAGTGGGTCCTTGGTGAGTCAACTCTAAGTTTCACTGATTCAAACAGATCTACTCTAGCTGCATCTTACTTTAGCATGTGTGATTTACTACACTAAGCAACAGAATTTCAGCTAATATTTCTACTACTTGTGTGAAGAATCCTTTTCAATACTGGAAAATATGCAACAAGCAATCTCCCAACTTCATCTTCTGCTCTTTAGGATATAAAACAAAGACGGTCTGAACAAGAGAAGCACAGTCTTTAATAGAAACAAAGATGATAATTTGATTAACAAAGGTAAATGAACCTTCAGAACAGATACAACAGAATACAAATAGCTTTTCTACTATTTTGTTTTAAGTTCAAATGCTGTAACAAGGTTGTTTTCTAGATCAGTTTTTTACTAAATAATTCTGGATTTCTATGCAATGCTGCACTATTTGTAGGAGGGTGAGATAAAGTACAACTGATTTGGTAAAATCCATGCAACTGAATATTAGGTAAGTACTGTCAAATTCAGCAAGCTAGTCTGAAGCCAATTATCAAATTCTTCTGACATTCACACTACTGAGAAAATAAAATGTCAGCACTTGAAAACATCATAAAAATGTCCTAACTCTAGTCAACTAAAAGAACGGAATGCAATGGAGTGACCCAATTCCTAACTCATGTCAACATTGAAGGCCTATCCCACTAAGTGGAAAAAAAGCAAACTGACTTACATTAAACACGTTTCTGTGCTACCTCAACGCAATGTCCCTGTAACTTCCTACTTGTTTTTCTTATTAAAGGCCAGGAGTGCTCCCACTATGAGAATGGGGAAGTAGTTCCAATAGCAGATGTGCACTCAAGATATGTTTGGCAACATCTGGGATACCTAGAATATAGAGATATCAGTATTAGCCCCATGGCATTGTAGTACAGAATCCAGATTTTATACATTTACGGTGAAGGACTCTATCCTAATTACTGTCTAATGTGCCAAAAAGAAAAAAAAAACATTTCTGATTTAATCTGTTGGGCATTTACAATGATGAGCATAAACAATGAATGAAGCTGCTTTCATTACGGTGGATAGTGTTCACAAGCTTAAATGATAAAAAAAACTAATACACTCCATTTAATTTAATTCTTTCTCACACACACAAAAACACCAAGTACATATTTGATGAGCAGTACATCAGGCTGAGAAGTTGTACCAAAATTCAGTTTTATCATGAGCATCATATTAACCAAATATGTGAATAGCAAGTTCTACTGAAGAACACAAATGAGAACTCACTTGCTAAGTAGGATTTCTAATGCATTTTGGAGAGGCTCTTTCAGTTCTTGGAATACTTTCTCTCCAAGATGGGCTAAGCAATCTTCTATTGAAGTTTCTGGGTTGGCAGGGCTGAATACTGGAGATGTGTGGCAGTCAAAGCCAGTATTGTTGAAAGCTGAAGACACAGAGGAAGCAATTTATAAAATGTATCTTACTACTAGTAAAAACAGTCTTATTACTAGTAAAAAAAGAGAAATTGTGTGCCTCTCAATTTCTGGTTGCTAATAGCTACCCTGATGGTATTTCCTCCATTTCAGTTGCCTCTTATGCTCATTATATACCACACCTACCCACCCAAGCATATAACCAACTGTCAATTTGAGGCAACATTCCACACATCTGATGAAGTGCACTGCAGTCCATGAATCTTCATGTCAAATAAAATGTACTCATTTTTAACACATCACAAGACACTTTTTTACTGCAACTGCTTAACTTGGCTTACACCTTGGAAGATATTAGGAATATGAAACAAAGGGGAGAAACAGTATAAAGAAGATGTAGAGGTGCCAAAGAAACTACAAGAACTCTCACTGAAATCAAAATTTAATAGCAGTTTTATACTATTTCTACCACCCTTCAACAAAAAACTTACTCTATTGATTTGCAAGAAGACATGCAATCATGAAAGTACTTATATTTGACAAGATAATACCTCCAATGTATATTTAAAATTACAAATGGAGAAGTTACTAAGAGAATGAATGGCTTTTTGATGAGGCTTCACAAAATAAGTATTTCTAATACATATTTAATTTATGCAGACAACTACATTCATAATTAATTTTGCATTATTTATCAAAGAATACAACTCTGTCCTAATAGAGCTATCATAAAACAAAAATAAAGCTTCATTAGCATAATAATTCATCTGCAGTTTAAAACATATATTTATTGCACTGGTTTTTAATACCATCTACCAAGCAACACATACTAATCTCTGCCTGTGTTTCTTCACACCAAAGGTCAGGATCTAGAAAACTAATAACAATTTTGGAGAACAACATTAGTAATTCAGGAAGAAAATACACCAAGATTTACAGACCTTCCAAAATTTCTTCATCAAGACGTTTCAACTCTTCCTCAATTTCTGCTTTAACTTTCTCTTGGACTTCCTTTTCTAACACAGTTGAGGTCACTGATGGATCAGTGCCTGAAATAAAAGAAAGAGTTCGGTTAGAGCAGGTGGCATACACACATAATAGAAAAGGAGTGCATAGTGACCACAGAAATATTTCTAGTTCTGTAAAAGCAAAATTTATTCACAATTTGGAACAACAGAAAATAGGATCAAGCAGTTACAGTACAACAGCATCCAGAATATCTTTTCATAAAATGAAATATTTGCAATGATAGAGTTAAAAATCATGTAAATAAAACAGCAAACTTAAGGCTGCAATCTTTATGTAATTATACACATTTACCTAAGAATAGGTTCCATTGAACTGAGTAAGACTTACCTTTGAATAAACATGAGCACAACTGTGCTGTAAAACTATGTGTAAAAATAGTAAGCGGAAGACCATAAACAGAGATTAATACAATCCAACGTGATGTAGTGGATAGAGTGAGGGAGTAGGACTCGGGAGGCCTGGGTTCAAATCCCCACTCAGCCATGGAAACTCACTGAGGATGTAGAGTGGTAAGAACACTCCTTAAAATATCTCCCTTACCTTGAAAGCACTGTTAAAGTCACTGTAAGTTGGTTCTGATTTGATGGCAAATAACAACAGCAAATACTACCTTCTTCCATCACCACATAGTGGGGTCTTGACTTACGAACTTAATCCGTATTGGAAGGCAGTTCTCAGGTTGAAAAGTTCGTAAGTCGAATCTTCAATTCCCATAGGAATGCATTGAAAACCATTTAATCCGTATCTGCTCTTTTCGTCCATAGAAACTAATGGGAAGCTGCTATTCCGCTTTCTGCCACTAGAGGGGGATATTTTTTCTTTTTTCCCTTTACCCGAAGATGACTTAGCTTTTTAAAAAAGGAAAAAAAGAGTTCGTAACTCGAATCTAAGTTCGCAAGTCGAGTCCATATATTCCTATGAGAGCAGTTCGTAAGTCGAAACGTTCGTATGTCGAGACCCCACTGTATATGAACTACTAGACTGATTTTCATTCTCCTTAGAAAATTTGTTATTTGAATAGTTTTCCCTCTAGTGTTGTTATCTCCTATGTACTGTAACTTGTCATGAGTATCTTATTAGAGACAGAGTAAAATATAAGTCAACATGAATTACATTAAGATATTTGTTTTTGTAAAATGCAATAATAACATATTATTCTACAAAGTATTCAGGAAGAAAATTACTTTCCTTTCTAAAGATTCTTTCTCGTGTTTAAAGTATTTTGTTCAATTCCTCCCCTCCACACTCAAAGGTATTAAATACAGTACAGTATTTTCTTTTGTCATTTGCTAGTGTACTCACTGAAAACACAGTTACTCTAACCAATTAATCGTATATTGCTTCATTAAATAAGCACACATGCTTAATAACTCTGGTATGAATTTTCTCTTCTTCTGATTGATTTTACGGTTGATGTTTAAGAATTAATGTGTCCTTTATAAAGTGCTTCTTTTTTCACAAATGATAAGGAGACTAATTCAATACACTCTACAACATGGAGAGACTCTCATTTGTCATTTATCAAGTAATATACTGTACTACAAGCACAGTATATGTAATGCTTAAGAGATAGTTCTGACAAACCCATTATGTTCTTATTTAGACAAGCAGCTCCATGAGGGCGGGCAACACACAATTTACAGCTATAAACAGGTACACTAAGTCATTTTTGCTCCTCCTCAATTCTGCCACTATTGTCACAGCAATGTTTGGATGGGAAACAGCTGCTGGGAACATGACTTTGTTGGGAAACAAAATGCACTCCTCCACACACGCATCATGTCTATCAGTAGAAGCATATTGTTTTTCACCACAGTAGAAACACCAGCAGTGTAGTGAAAGAAGCAGCCTCCAGAAAATGCCCACCCTTAATCTAGAGCATTTGAGACTGTAGACCCTTGCTTGGAAGACCACAGATGACACCAATATCATTTTCCAATCCACTTTCTTACTTTAATCTCCCCTTTTAACAACAGTCAGTTGGTCTGATCCAGTTAACTTTTTTGTAATGGAAGTAGACCTACTGGAAAGGTGGAAAAATCCTCTGAGTCAGAAGTAAACAGTACGTGGCCTTCTAGATGATGTAGGATGTCTCACATGTCCTAAGACTTAGCTTTCATGCAATACTTCTAAAAAAACCCTGCAAGAACCACATTATGCTCCTTTTTCAGAGGACAAAAAACTGTTTCTATGCTATCCCTCATATGGAAGACCAATTTAGTTATATAAAGGAAGGCTGAAATCAAGACTTTCTGGTTTGTGCAAGACCTGTCCTGCCCAAACTGAGGAGCCATTTCAGAAAAGCACCTGTTTTCAAATATCACCTGGATGATAAGCCTATATGACAACCTGTCAAGTCGAGCAAGAAACCATGCTGAAAAAGTCAAGAAAAAAATCCATATGCAGCAGTTCTATTTAGATAATTATTGTTGTATTAGTAATGATCTGTATACAAGCAGCAACGTTCAGCACTGCTACGGTGTGAAAAACAACTACTGGTGTTGACTTATAGACAGAAAGCAGAAGGAAACAACCATCTACTTTCAGTGTTTAATAATAAATTTTTAATTTATTATTAAATTATTATTTTAATAATATTTTGCTATGCATCCTTTATTCACAAGAGTTATTTCAAATAAGTTATTTCAAATCCTGTCAACCTCTTACAAGAAGCTGAACAGCATCATAGCTTTTCTGACTTTGAACACATTAACTATAAATATTTATGGTTAGTATCTTATTACTCACACCAACAGGTGCTAAGTCAGCTTAAACTGTTGTAGTGAATTGCTGCTAATTAAGAAGTCAAAGCCTCTGTTTCTCATACATAACAGGAATTATGGGCACTGACTTCTAAACTAGAAGCAATTTGCTGCAATGATTAATACCATTTGACTACTACTACCAGGAGTATGTACAGTAATTGGATTCTGGTCAATGTTGCGTCAAGCTTTCTTTCTTTCTTTTTAATTTTGGAAGCTCAATTTCCCCACTATGTCTCCTTGAAAGGGGCTAGACTCGATGAACCACAGGGTCCCTTTCCAGCTCTGCAGTTCTAAGATGATGATATTTTATTCACAGAACTGTTTGCAAATAAAGAAAAAAACTCAGTTCACTTCAAGATAATTAAACCATATTTATTGTTCTCAAATGACACTCTCTTCTTAGTCCAAAAGTTTCTACTGCCAGTGAAAGCCAAGTTCAAGGGCTACACAGACTCATTTCTAAATTTTAGGAGGGCTGCATCCAATCCTGTAACCTCTATCCCAAACAATTTATTTATTTATTTACAAAATGTGGTTTGTTTGTTTTTACACTGTAGCTACTTCCTCTTCCACCATTTCGTGGCCGGTCCATTTTTTAAAAATTAGACACCATATTGAGGTATGTCAGCTTCAGGTGTGCCGAGGATCTCCAAGACATGGCAAAATTGTCCCCATGCGTCCTGGAAGGAATAGAGTGCTTTTCAAGCAGAAGTATATATTTTTGGAAAAGATTAAAATATGGGAGTACGTACAGGGATTGAGTGGCACAAATATGTTCCTCCCCCCCCCCGAAGAAATTTGCTATTTCACTGATTATAACCAAGAGAACAGACCTGTGAGCATGGTCCACCCGCACAGGCTTCTTGACCCGAACAGTTCCAAGAAGTTCTGGGATATCTTCCAGCCAACCTGATACACAATACGAGTGGCTGACATGATCACCCACAAATGCCCTCTCCGCTCCAGAGCTTGCACTGCTCCTTGGTATATTGAGGGGCTGCAAGCTATGAAGCTATCAAGGAGACAGCTAGAGAGCAGGTGGAGAAGAGATCAGTCGGCACAAAATAGAGCTGCAATTAAAACTAAAGCCAATAAACATGCTAATGCCCTTAAAAAGGCAAGAAAGACTTTTAATATCCAGACAATTGGTGAGGCTGTGAACCAACAAGCAGAATTGTTCCAGGTGATCCACTACCTTACCAGTTCTGGCCATTCAAGTGCCTTGTTTTGAGTTCACCAGTGATCAGTTTGTAGTCTTTTTCAGAGCAAAAATCAAGGCTCCACCAGCCGTCTAGCTAATCCAGGCATGGCCACTGCTGTCCCATCTCCCATTCCCCAGTTGGTTGTTTGACCCTGTAATAAAGGAGGAAGCCTCCAGGGTGATGGCTAGCTGTAGGCCCACTACCTCCTCACTGGATCCTTGCCCAGCCTGGCTCATCACAGCTACAAAGGAGGTTATGACTGATTGGGCTGTAAACATTATTAATTCATCACCGAGGGAGGGAATGCTTCCCTCTCGCTTAAAAGAAACCATCTTCTAATCCATCATCAAGGGCCCCAGTTAGTGCTGGACAACCTTAACAATTTATGTCTGATCACTAACATACCATTCCTGGGTAAGGTGATCGAGAGGGGGGTGACGAATCAGCTGCAGTTGTACCTGGAGGAGCAGGATTGCCTTGACCCATTCCAGTCTGGATTCAGGCTGTAACCAGGTACTGAAATGACACTGGGTGATCTTTTAAGGGAGGCTGACAGGGTCAGATGCAGTCTGTTGGTAGTCCTAGATCTCTTGGCAGCTTTTGATACTGCCAACCACAGTATCCTCCTAGACAGGCTCTCCAAGGTTGGGATCGGGGGTTTAACATTGAGCTGGCTCTGATCCTTCCTCAAGGACCATGTCCAGAGAGTTCAGCTAGAAGAGGAGGGGTCAGCACTTTGGATCCTTCGGTGTGGCGTTCCTCAGGGACTGGCATTATCCCTAAAGCTGTTTAATATCTATGTTAAGCCATTTGTGGAAATCACCAGGAGTTTTTTTTAGTAAGGTCATCAGTATGCTGATGACACACACCTCTACCTCTCCGTTACAACATCTGCAATAGATGCCATCCAGTCCCTGGAGTGTTGCCTGTTTTCATTACTGGAATGGACCAGGGCTAAGAGGCTCAAACTGAACCTGGACAAAACAGAGATTTTACTCTTGGGGGGCGGCACTGATGGGTTAGGGGGGATGGCTCCTAGGCTGGATGATACTTTCCTCCAATTTAGGGACCAAATGAGTAATTTGAATGTTCTTCTGGACCTTGCTCTTTTTTGGGAGTCCCAGATTGCATCTGTGTCTATATCAGCTTTTAAACAGCTTAGGCCAGCAATGGCGAACCTATGGCATGCGTGCCACAGCTGGCACACAGCTTTCTGCAGGCATGCAAGCCATTAAGTTGCAGGATCACTACTTCCCCCCCCCAGACAAACCTGAGAAGGTGGCTGCAGCCATGGTGCTGGCACCCCAACAGGTGGCGGGCCAGGATCCAGAGCAGCTGGCACTGACGGCAAATCTGGAATGGGGTCTCAAGGCACCTCTGTGTCTGGGATTGCCCCTTCCACCACCACTTCCGCTTCTGCCCACCGCCCGCTAGTCTTTTTTTTTTCAGTTTGGGCACTTGGGCCCAAAAAGGTTCAGCATCACAGGCTTAGGCTAATTACCCAAGTTCGCACCTACCTAGATGAAGACTCCCTCAGGACTTTGATGCAGGCTTTGGTCATCTCTCAGAATGACTGCTGCAATGCCCTCTGTGTGGGGCTCCCCTTGATCTTGATCCGGAGCCTTAAGAGTCCAGAATGTGGCAGCCAGACTGGTGGTTGGTACCAGTAAATTTGAACACATCGCTCCAGTTTTGGCTCATTTCCACTGGTTGTCCGTGGCGTCCAGGATCAGGTTCAAGTTTTTGACACTCACATACAAAGCCCTCCACAGTTTGGGCCCATGTTACTTGTCAGAGCATCTTTCCTTAATGTCAACTGCCCAACCCAGATGAGGCTCCTCTGGGTGGCCACCCCAAGGAAGGCCCATAAATTTTCTACAAGAGGTAGGGCCTTCTTTGTGGTGGCCCCAACTTTATAGAACCAGCTTCCAGAGGAGGTCCGCCTAGCCCCCTCCCTGTGGACTTTTAGGAAGCAATTAAAGACATTGCTTTTCAGGGAGGCTTTCCACACCAACCCCAGCTAACCACCTTCCCTCTGTTTTTCTTTCCCCTCCTCTTTTCCCCCCCACTTCTCCATCCGCTATGGGATTAGTTGGTGCCATCTGTTTTTTTAGGGTTATGTTTGTTTTAATATCTCTATTTTTATTTTTGTTTTCTATTTTACGAGTTGTAACCCGCCCAGAGTAGTGACACTAAGAGGAGCGGGATACAAATTTAATAAATAAATAAATATAACCACCAAGTAATTTTAATCCATTCTCATAGCACTATACTTTCTAAGTGAACCAGGGAGTTCTAAACAAATGCAATAAGTTAACAGCACTGAATGCAGGTACAAAACAATGTCAATAATGTGAATGGAATTAAACAGACCATGGATTTTTGCCACACCCAGCAATCACAGTCTGTTTTAAGGTCAGTTTCACAATTTGGGTGTACTATTAAATCCTCCCTTTTTCCTAGAAGATGCTTATGCTTCTGTCTAGGCCATCAAACAACTTCACATCAACATAAAGGATTCAAGTGACAATTAAAAGAATGAAATTGATGTAACTAGTACTAGTGGTTTTGCAAAACATAACAGAAAAATACTGTTTCAGACTAAAGCAGCATTTAATTATTTATTTGGTTTTGTTTGTCTGATTGACTTTTATACTGTTCATCTGGCTGCGAAGGCCACTCTAGATACTTTACACTTTAAACAACTATATCATTGAACAACAATTTAAAGCAATGCAGATAATAGTAAAAAAAATCCAAATTAAACACAGATGTTGACGAACACAGACAATTCCCAATTTCCAAAAATGCATCCATCATATTAACTAGACAGAGATAAATAATTCCAAATTTACAATATCATATTTTAAGCTGAAGAAAGATTTATATCTCTCTCCTCTTTGTTTTACTTCAGTGTAACATTTTATTAAAGAAAATAAAGTTCTATAAAGTTTTCACATTTTAAAGATATATCAGTACTCTATAATTAACTTTGCTATCTGGTTTATGATGAACATATTTACCTTGAGATGGCAGAGTATGCTGCTTCTGATGTTTTTCCTGTGTCAACAGACCCAAATAGCTGAGGACAACATATTTTGTTTCATAATGAAATCCTACAGGCACAGTAGTAGAGGATGCCATTGGGTTGGCTTCCAATATTCCACAGGGTGTAGCTTCCTTTCTTCACGATGTAAACACTAAAAGTAAAAAAAAAGGAATATATAAAATAATATTCAACTTATCCATACATATGCAAAAAGTGCAATTGTAACACATATTTATAATGACATAATCACAATAAGGTACTCTCATTGCTTTAGGGAACCCAGAAGGCTCCTTGGATTTCTGTTGGCCTGTAAGACTCCCAACCAGGGGCAGGAAGATTATGTAGAAGTGCCGTCGCTCCAATCTCAATCTAAGGAGACCCAGACTTCTCCCCCACCTTCTCCGCCTAGAAGGGAAAGCAAGGAGGTGGACACCAAAGAATTGGAAGAATTAAGAAAAGGACAGGGTCAGAAACATCAAGGGGTAGACACCTGGGATTTGGTACAGAAAATGAAGGGGTTAAGCATGTCGGCATCTGCTGGTGAAGATTTGGCGGGAAAAGGGAGAGCTTCTATAGAGGTGGGGGTAGGAGATATAAGGGCTAGGCGGGAAGACATCCTGGGCGGTTGGGAGATGATATGGGTCCAGCATCCCTGGACAGGGAAATGGGAGCAGGTTAAGGTACCTCACGAGGAGGCTGAAAGGCGTCAGCGACAAGGGTTACAACCTCGCCCTTCCTATTGGGGAGAAACCGAGGTGAAGGAGTGGCGTCGTCGTCTAAGAGAGGAGCGAGAAGCCGTGGGGAGAGAACTTGAGACCAAGAAAGCATGGCATCTCGCGAAGCTCCAGAAGATGGGGGTCTACCTGGACCGTGGCTGGCCACTCCGGGAGAGAGTTCCCCATTCTGGGAGTGGAGATGAAGAGACCCTACCGTTTCTAGGTACCGAGAGAGAAGATGAGCCATTGGTCTCAGAGAAGGTATTATCTGGACCATGGAACTTTGACGAAACGAACCCTTTTGTTACTAACGTTTGGACACCCTTACAGTCGAAGTTTAGACGGCAAGAGACTTTATACCCAGGTCAGAAATAGATTGATATTAATGTTGGACTGTTAATAAATGAAGACAATGTTGAAGAGTTAAATCCGTCTCAATCTTTATTGGGTGTGACAGAAGCCCATGTCGAACCCTCATACGGCCTTTGAAGTTGAATAGTGGCTAAAGCAAAAGTGCTTCAAATCTCATACCAAATACAACAGAACATATATTAAAAACACATAATTGTCCCTACCATGCAGAAGTAGTGGCAAAAAAATATGAGTTTTTAAAGAAATTTCTTGTACTACAAACTCTATAATTCTCCATTCTGGAAGTTTGTTAGACAGACACCTTTCAGACTCCCAAATGTGGTTCACTTGGGAGGAAAATCTCTGCTCGAAGGCTTTAAGACTGAGCTAGGCCTAGCTCCACCCAAGTTTCCTGTTCTTGCCCCAGAGCTAGCTGGAAATTTTCTGAATAGAAGTTAGACAACCTTGGGATTGGAGAGTCCTGATCCCAGCAGGGGAGAACCAGTTGTGGTTTGTTTTTACTACTAAAGGCTTCTGCCCCTCACCCCATTCTGTTATCAAAGGCTTCCACAGAACAAAGTGGATCTCTAGGCAACCTTAGAATGTGAAGGTGGATAGAACACTTTCAATTAGTTTAAATTAAAAATTACCAGTGCCAGATCTAGTTTGCATGGTGTAATTTTACACAATACGATTTTACCCATTAGACACAGGGTCAGTGTTCTGATGTATAAACACATAGTGGAAGGGAAGTTATGTAATTAAGCTACCCACCCCCCAAATCCACCAAGCTCCCACTGCATAACCAATGTTGCAACTAGCACATGAATGGGCATGCAAAAAAGGATCTTGCCAGAGTTAAGGAGAAAGTATATGCAATTCCCCTCTGCTCCATTTTTAGGCACAAGATACTAGTCAAGGAATAATGGCTTGTGAGAAACACTGCTTGGAGAATTATTTTCTCATTAAAAATTATATGTTTTAAAGGTTTACCGTAACAAAAATGCAGCTGCTTGTTTAAAAACACAAGGCAGCATGAAAAGTCTACTGTAAAATTATACAGTACTTCCAAAGCATACTTCCAGTAGGCCTCCATTTAGTTTTAAAATGAAAACTGAGACCTACTGGTAAATGTTAATCTAAGTTGATATTTAGACAGTGAATGTGGCACAACAAAATCATTATAAATACTGTATTAAGACTTATTATTAATAATTAATTCCCCATTATAGGTTTATAATTAGTCAAGGAATGTTATTGCAAAGAGGCAGTATGGCAAAATGATTACAGTGTTGGAATGGGGACTTGTGAGTTTTCAGTTCTAGCCCCCAATGAGTCATGAAAGTCATTAGGTCCTGCATCTCCCCTATCCTTTAATCATATTCAATTCCTAATTTCCTAGATACCCCAAATCCCTTTTTAAAAAATTGGGGTTTTCAGTGACTAGTTAGATACTTAAAAGATGAACCATTGTTCATTTGAATTATTCAGCGAAATCTTGGACAAATACAATTTGGACCATGTAAACATCGTTTTTCATTTGTGAAACAAATTTGAAACTTCCATCATTTGTCATTCCTATTGTGAAACAAAAACTCCTAAAAAACACAATTGTAAAGATATAGTCATCGCTGTTATATTTCCTATGATAAAAACTTGTAAAAAATTTCATCTCTATAAACCAGTGGTTCTTAACTTTTTTTACTCTGATGCTTTTGAACTGCAACTCCCAGAAACCCCAGTCAGGACAGCTGGTGGTGAAGGCTTCTGGGAGTTGCAGTCCAAAACTCCTGAGTAACCCAAGGTTAAGAACCAGTGCTATAAACAATACTTCCAAGCTATTTGTTGGGCATGATCAGTTTCCAATCTTGGGAATTCATTCATTTTTCTACACGGAGCTAATACAACTAGTACTTTAATTTAGACATTGCTCTAGAATGCCTCCTATGTCTGAGCATGCCTAAAATCCTTCACAGCTTTTTTCCATGCCAGACTCTCCTCCTGCAGAGTTTTAATAACTATGAATCATATACAAAATAGCAAGAAAGACTTCAAAGCATACTGAGTTTGTCTTATAATTAAGCTAAATTAAAGAAACAACAACTTGTGTCAAAATCTCCTGCACATACTGTACTTTTATTACTGCTTCTAGAACAATAAAAGTGATTATTATGGACAGGTAAATGTAACTTGCTAGTGGGTTGTTTTCTGGCTGAAAGGATCTGGCCGGTCACCTCTTCATTATCTCAAATGGTTGTCTGGAAACACTGACAGGGATGATAACAAAACTGAAATGTGGTAGATCATATCCCACATGGAAAGTGCAAATAAAGGAGACAATGAAACAAAGTTAGAAAAAGAAGATTGAAAGATACACAAACATCTTTTGATTCTGGCAGTACGAAGCTGCAAAGTAATAAATGTATTAGGACTAATTAAAAGATCACAAAATAAAGTTAGAAGAAAGGTATTGTACTAAAAGAAGCTTTTAAATTTTTGGCAATAGACAAAAAGACAACCTACATATGTAGAGTATCATTAAAAAGGGGATTGAAAATAAAATAGCCAACATTATAATGCCATTGTACAAAATGATGATAAGGCTGCATCTGGAGTACTGTGTACATTTTTCTTTGCCGCACCTCAAAAAAGACATAGTGGAACTGGAAAAGGTGAAGAAGAGAGCAACAAAAACAATGGCTGGGGCACCTACCTTAGGAGGGAAGGCTGCAGCGTTTGGGGCTCTTTAGTCTAAAGAAAAAGCGCCTGAGGGAGGGCATGTTTGGGACATATAAAATTATGCAGGGAATGGATAAAGTTTATTTATTCTATTTATATCCCGCCCATCTGGTCTGGTCGACCACTCTGATAGAGGCAAACTGTGGGGCCACTGTGAGATACAGGAAGTTGGACTACATGGAGCCTTGGCCTGATCCAGCAGGGGGCTTCTTATGTTCTTAAGAAGTAGGGGGAATCTTTATCTATACATGCCTAATCTTACATGAAGCCATGAAAATTATTACTTTCTTAAAGCTTTGAATATAAGCCACTAAGTGGCACTTACAGTGTCTAAGTGGCATTGTCTTCTAAGTGAATTAATGGAGTGTGGGTTAAATTCAGTTGTTAGTACTAACTAACTAACTAACTGATTTATACCCCGCCCATCTGGCCTATAAGACCACTCTAGGCGGCTGAGTAGGCCTACTGAATAAATTAAACTTTAGTCAACAATACAAATCACTTTCAGTCACTGGGTCTAGTTACCAATGAGTTTAGCCCAGTAGCCCCACAACATAGACCAAAACTTTCCATTACCTATTTGACTGTGAGTTGCTAGAATTACTTAGAAAATCAAGGGGTCTGCCAGACTGCCATCCCCCAAATGCTGTGAGTGATTCTAATCTATCAATGGATTAAACTGTCTAGCAAAATAAGTTACAAATGAATGAAATAGTTGCAGTCTTCTACAGAAAGGGCTTTACTATGTTCTGGTCTTTTCCTATGAGATTCAAAGGTACAGACAGCTTTATTGCTACCATACAACCATGTGTGATCTTACTCAAAGAACATATTTAAACATTTATATTACCATACTGCTGATTTTGGTTGCTCATAACATGAAAGATAGGAAGGATCCAAAAAGTGTTCCTCAAGACAACTGTGTTCCAGAAGAATTAACTTTACATTTGTCAAATTCTTACCCTATGGCTTGAAAATACATTTGATATTTTCTAGTAACTGAACAAAATTAATACAGCAATCCAAATCTCTCACTATACTATTCAATAGCCTGTAGATAACTATCCAACTCTTATATGTGCCAATCACCACCACCTCAACTTTTGAGACCTGCACAAGCTTTTCCCATGTAGACAGATAAATACTCTCTATCCTCACTAACTTGTGGCCTTATAAGCGTTTTATAAAGCTACAGAATTTGAAAGATCAGCTTGTGCTTGTTGAAAATTACCCTAGTGATATAATAAGGAGACATTAAGTAAGGCTATGCTGAGAATTCCTATTCCAAAAGCACATCAGATTTTTAGCTTTCTTTTAAAAAAAACTAAAGTGAGTTAGCCAACCAAATTTGCTCCATTACCTTTGCAGATTAAATAACAGAAAGGTTTAGAGGTAGAAGTCTGAAAAGACTGTGAAAACAGTAAACTAAAGTCTGTATCAGTCTTTAGTGGCAGCACTATAGTAACCAACATTGAGGAATCATCTTGCTTAACTGTGAACATGTGTTTTTGCAGAACTTAAAAATACCATTCATCTGACAAAACTCAACTGAATATCAGAAGCTTGCCAATATTTTAAAAAAGTGTTAGTAGGTGGCTCTGCATATTTTTGAAAGAAGTTTCTATCACTGCTGCACAAGCACTCGATGTGCTGAACCATGCAAGGGTTTAACAACAATCCTTTATCTGATCCATGGTTTTACTTTAACTTTAGGATGATTACTACAGTCCATAAACAAATGGTGCTTCCAGAGAGTTTAACTTAATTGTCTACTAGAACCATGGAACAACCTTTTCCACATTTTGAACTCATTATAGGTGAAAACAAAGTAAAAATATAAACGAGAACAAACAAAAATGTGGTGGCACCTTAAAGACTAACTTTTATATGTCTTAATGTGAGCTTTAATGGACAAGTCCACTTCATTATTTGCCCATGTAAAAATATGAAAACTAGTATTTAAGGTACCACAACGTTTTTGTGGTACCTTTTTTACTTTTTACTTTTACTTTGTTTTCACCTATAATGGTTGCACAGACTAACACAGCTACCTCTTCTAAAACTACTATTTTGAATTCATGTTTTTGTACAGTACATAGAATGAACTAAATAATTAATCCATGTACAGTGAAAATAGTTCTGAACAGCAGCAAGTTACCAAATATAACATAAGTTACCAAATATAACATAAGGCTCTTCGTAAAGCACACTGAACTTGTTAGCCTCAAGGAACAATATCTGAAGATAGTAAGTAACATTACAGATTACTGCAACGAAAAAGAAAAAGCCAAACGTTTTGTAATGTTCACAAAAATATCTTCAATCACTAGATTGTTCCTCAAAGGAAATCTGAGCAAACACTCCAATAAAGACTCTCTCAATCAATTAGAGTTCCAGTTAGTACTGATGAATCAGTAATTTAACTCTAACAATATCCTTCTTTCATCAATTCAACAACAAATAATGGAGAGTTATATTCACCATTAAGAGCAGGCCCAAAATCTCAAATGAACTGTAAGGGCCTTATATTCCAAGGGCAAGTCTGTGGAAGAATAAAGGGCACACTCTATCCTGCATCCATACTCCCTTCTTCTCTCATTATTACATACATGCAAAGAACGTAATTCTTGCCAACTGTTGAATAAATGCAGCTGCAAAGTAGCAAGATGTTCTTGGGAAGAAAAGGTTGCCCAAATGCATGTAAGCACACGCCCTGCCGCACCAGCAGAAAATGCCTCATGGAGCAGAGGCGACTGGCTAGCTGGCAAGAGGAGCCATTGCTAACGATGCTGGCCCCTGTACAATGGAAGAGAGCCTGTGGCTTCTGCCACTTTAAACACACACGTGGCAGCGAGTTATCAAAAATGGAAATGCAAGGTCCTCTCACATCTCACACTGTGGGGAGGCCCTACAAACACAATAACCAACACACACTTTCCCCACCTTATGGAATTGTTTGTTTGTCAAGGGATGGTTTCATTCCACCCCTTCACAGCCATAGTAACAACTCATAAATGACTGGAGCGTGACGGGGGGGGGGGGGGGGAGAAAGCACCTCCGAACCTTCAAAACAAACAAACAAACAAACCCCTCACGATTTCCCTCCAATTCGCCCCAGATTTTCTGGCCGGGGGATTAATCCGCCCTTCAAACAGAAACTCCCCAGACGTGCCAACCCACAGCCGGAGAAGCTCCGCCTCACAAACATGTACACAATGAGGGAAGTCGTCGAAAAGAAAGAGGGGGCCATATACTGCACACGCCTGAGGCAACGCGTGAGGAAAAAAATAATGGCGGGGGAGGGGGCGTTCAGACGATTGAGAGGAGAGGAGGAACCTAAACTGATAATACTACACATAAATGTGTATAAACACACACACACACACCGGGGGAGGGGAAGTCGGGGAGGGAAAAAAGGGGGCGGGATGGCACCGTGTGGAAAGAAGCCGCCCCCAACACAGACCTTCCTTCGTCCGCGGCGAAGGCTTCCTCAGAGGCAAGGCAACTGAACCGCCCACGCGGCGAAAAGGGGCCACGAGCGACACAAGACTGAGGCCTATTCCACCCCCCTCCGAGTCTACGCTGTCCTTTCTTCCTCGCGACACACACAGACACACACTTGCGGGAGGGGGCGGGGAGGAGGAGGAGGAGGGTGTGTGTGTGTGCGTGCGTGTGTCCTGTTTACCTTGAGTCTCGCGAGGAGGGAAAGACGGCGAGAAGGTCAAAAACGCGAGGGCACGCGACGCTCCCCGAGGAAATGACCCGCGCCGCCGAGTTGTGTTATGATTTATGCGCGCGTGCTGATGCGCGCGCGGCGCTTCCAATCAGCCCCCAAACAAGAGCTTCGGCCGCCGCCATGATGGAAGAGGGCAAAGGGAAGGCATTCCCAAGGCCGGGCGCGCGTCCGCCAACAAGACCTTGAGGTAGGGCCATGACGTCACCCCCACGGCGCCGGGACAAGATTAAATGCAGCAATCCTACCATTGTGGACATGCCTCCGACCGAGGGTACGTTCGGGGAGGAAGCGCCGAGATGAACGCCCAGGCAAACGTTCACCATAGAGATATGGCAGACAGATGAAAGAGAGAGACAGAATCTGAAAGTACGGCGATATTGAAAGATCACATTGGCAGGAGTTTTCAATGGCGTGAGTGGGTAAAGTACATTTTTCGAAATTTTCTTTTGATTTTTTTTTTATCCCAGGGTCCACGAGCTGCAACAAACAGAGGTGGATACAAAATTCTTATTTAACTCCATTTAGTTTTCAACATGGGTGGCAAAATCTGAGTTCTTTGTACGTCGCTGTTTTCATCCTCCTTTACATTCGCCGTATTCGGTGAAGTTGACTCAGTCTAAACTATTTATGAGGTTTCGAGGTGTTTCCGGACTGTGTGCGATAAGAATTAAGGGGGAAAGTACCTCCGGATCTGAGCTGATGCCGAGTGCAAGCATTTGTTTTCAGGTGCAGAAATGGGTGCATGGCCTTTTTGCACAAAACTCAGCATCCTCCGCATGCTATTTCGGCAGCTGAGTCTGGAGGGGGGCTTTTCGGAAGATTTGTGTTAATAAACATCGGAAGTAGGAAAAACATCTTCAGATTTTCGAAAGATAGAACCCAACCATGTATGACTTTTCCTTTTTTTCCTTTCTCTGGTTTTGTGTTAATGATGGATGATCGTACCTGCAGTCACATGGCCTGACTCCACCTCCATTTCGTCCGTACAGATCAGGATATACCATCTGCACAAGCGCACACGTACTGTACTTGGCCCACATCTTGGTTCACAAGTATTTGGTGTTCCCCAGTTTCACATGTTTCATAACAATAATGTGCCATCAAATCCATTCTGACTTATGCTACCCTTTCCAGAGTTTTCCAGGTACAGAGTACAGTACCCAGAAGCACTTTGCCGTTGCCTTCTTCTGGGGGGGCATTTTGGGAATTTGCCCCTTGCCCAAGGCCACACAGACCGTTCTGGGAGGCAAAGTGGGGAATTGAACCCCCTTGCTCGGTGAGCTACCCTACCAATGCGTTCAGGACCAAGTTAAAACAAAATTCAAATCTCGATGTGGGTAATGAATGTCTTTATCCATCCAGACATCAAGGTGCCCCAGCCTACAGCAAAACGCCCCACTTGAATGTGCCCTGGCGCAAGGGGGGGGAACTCACAAACGACACTGCGCAGGCGCCTCTGGTGCCATTGACGTCACGACGAACACTACTTCCCATTGGCCTAAAAATCGACGGACCAAGGGGGCGGGGCGTTGTAGCAGCTGTGAGTGACCCGAACCGGATTTGAATCCATTCCTTTTTCAGCCGCGCAAGGAAGCCGACCTGAGCGGACGCTTCTCCTGCGGCCTTTTTCTGCTGCCTGGGCCCCGCTTCCTCCTTCGCCCGCTTCCACCATGGCGCTCAGCGATGCCGACGTCCAGAAGCAGGTAACTTTAGGAAGCGTAGGTTGTGGTGCGCGTCCTTTTGGCCAACTAGCAAAAGGGAAGGGGATTAATATTGGGATTGTCTTCTTCCTTTGAACCCGGTGCCTGGGGGGGGGGAATGGCCCAGCTCTCAAGGTGAAAGGGGTGCAGCGCGATCCTACACCTTTTTGATCAGCCGTGGGATTTCCTCCTAGGAAGGCTAGGTTTAAGAGAGGCATATTTGTGGGGAAAAGGAGTGAAGCCTCTATAGTATTTTCTGCACGACACTTGCAGATCAATCCTGCTTCTGTTTACTCAGAAATCAGCTTCGTTGTTTTTTAAAATTCTGACACCTAAAATGAGGGATGGAAGAGAAGTTGTTAATATGGAGTCTTACAAGGCAAGAAACTCACTTCCCCTCCCCTAGCGGAGCTAGGAAGTTACCTGGCTTGCAGTCTAATCGTTAGAATGTTTATTTGGAAGTTAGTCCTTCAGATTTATGGGAATTTATTCTCCAGTAATATTGCTTTAATATTGGGAGCAATATTGGGAGTTGCAAATCAGCATGCTTGTGATTATGCTGTAGTGAAAACTTACCCTCAAATTAAATTTAATTTCTGTGATGGTGGCTGAGAGGCCTAGAAATGGAAGGAAAATTGCAGTGTGACAAGAATTGATATATAAAAGGCTGCAGTGTTGCATACTATGTGTGTTAATGTAGACTGAATATCCATCCCTTCAGTTTTCTGTTTGCAGTCAGTAACACACCAATGACCCCCACCCCATTAGGTTTTTTAAATATATATTGGCAAGATGGGGGAAGGACTACCTTTTATCACCATGAATTGAAGGGTGGTGTTGAATAGTAACTCCTAAAACTGAGTATGACTGGGGGAGCACTCCTGCCCTGGCCCACCAATTTACAGTTTAAATGACCTTTTATGTTTGTGCCCTTGAAGTGCAGAGTTTGTTTGCACTGAAAATGACTAACAACATGTCTGGTGGTAGAGCAATGGAAAATGTTTGACATCTGCACATATTTGCAGTCTCAATGATGATTAGACTGGAAAAAATGGAATTGTTTCCATATTCATAATTGTCAAATGTGGTATTATACTGAGTGTGGATGAAGGATTTGTTAATGGGTGGCATAGAAATCAACAAGCATTGGGAGTTGAATGGAAGATATAAGTAGCAATGCTTAAGGGATTTCATAATTTCTACAAGTTTGAGGGGCTGGTGTTTGTGAATCTGCTGTGTGAAGAGATGGGTGTAGACTAGATGAGACAAGGCAAAAAGGTATTATGACATTGGGCAGAATCAAGAAGGAAACTGGTTTTATCTTAATATTGTAAGGCTTATTGCTGTGACATTTGTGCCATTTGGAAACCGGCCCTAAGCAAATCAAAATATAGAGCCACTGTTGCTTATGTTCTTCCTCTGTGGTCTATCCTCATAGATATATGTGGTGTAATTGTGAAGCTATATCATATATTTGGTAGGTCATCGGGGCTGTGTTACAGCATTAAACTAGATAAATCTCTTTAAAATGTGACATGCTACTTTAAATGAGATCGACTGTTAAGAGAAATTTCATGAACACTCTGTTATGTTCACCTTTAGACTTGATACCCATCAGTGAGTTGTTTTGTCTCAACATAATGGTTTACTCTAAACAGAGGGTAGATCATGGCGTTCTATTATGTAAGGAGAGAAGTAACTAATTGATCTTTGGAATATAAAACTAGAAATGGCTAAAACAAGCCTTGGAATTCCAGGTATCAAATATCTGTAGAAAGGAGCAAATGGAAGAAAGCAATAAAAATGTTTTTCTGTTTTGACAAAAAAGAGGAAAAGCCAGTGATTAATGCTCATGTTAACAGAGAAGACTAACATGACAGGAAGTTCTGTCTCTAGGTACTAAGCATTTGAAAGAGGAAAAGCCAGTCTTTTGAAACTTTGGAACTTCCAATTCTCTTTTAATTGGTCCTTACTAGCTTCTACTATTAATGATAGTGCCGTGGCTGCTAATGCTTTTCATGAATAGAAGGGACACAAATTTATTTAAAAAGTTAAAGCTATCATAATTTATAGATTGTACCACACAGGAAGGCATAAAGTACAGGAGGAAAGTAGAAAAGCTGAACAGTATCTCATTAGCTGATAAGGAAATCTCTTAGTTTAGAAAATAAGTAGAATAGAAAAGCAGTTCCTGCATACTGGCATGCATTACAAGCTTCACTAAGGCTGTTCAGGTAGTATACACCACTTTGATAGCTTCTGCAGAAAATCAGTAACTCATACTATTGATTTTTAATAACCCCTGAAACAGCTTTTCTAGTTGTTTCAGATAGTAGCTTCCCTGCCGCGGTTTTAATGTACTGGGATTTTGTGACATATAATGTGTGTATGATTTGTTTGTCCTTTAGAGCTTATCCTGTTGACTGTAAATAGCACCCTTACTAGTAGAACTGCCGTGAACTGGCTTTGGAATGAAGTGTCATACTAAATTCTGCATAGATCCAGCCGACACTGGTGAAGTAATGTTCCTTACAGTGTGGGGGCAGAGTCTGCATGTTTTACCGTAAATTTTCCATTCTAGACAGTGTTAGGTGAACACCTACTACATAGGTGTCTGTTGAGTGTTTCATTATTGGCAGTGTGAGTCTTCATTAAAAACCAAATGGAAAAGATTCTACAGTAAATTGATTTTTATCAGATCAGGATATTAAACCATCCAGCCTCAAACTGTATTCTTAAACACTTCTTCATGCTCTTAAGTAGAGGTCTTCCAATCCCTTGTTACCTAATCTTTTTAACTAAAGATGTCAAGCATTGAACAAAGGACCTTCTCTAAATGCAAAACACATGTTTGTCCACTATACGGTGATCCCTTCCCTTGCAAACAGTGGTGCGTAATATTGGGATGCTGAGTATGAGGAGAAATGTTTGGTAGAATCTACCAGTAATTATCTCAGTAATTCTCTGGTTCCTAGGAAGCAGAGTGACATGATAGACTGAGAAGTTCTGCCCACATACATTTGGATGCTATCTTAGCCATACTTTGTAAATACCCACTTGGAATTAATAGGATCTTAGTTAACCATTGTTCATTTAAGTTTCATTAACGTCAGCAGTTCTTTTGCAATGAAGACTTAAATACGAAGCTAACCTTTTAGTCAATTATTCTACACAGCCCTATTGCTGTTAGTGCAACTTAGTGATCAAAATCATGTTGCTTAGTCTAGTACATTGCCTTAGAGTAGGCCGATTGAATTAGTGAGGAGTCAGTGAATCAACTTCGCCACAAGTTCCGTTGATTCAAACAGGCCTACTTTACTTGCAGTTTACTCTAAATCAATGGAACTTATGAAGAAAGGCTGTCACCATACACAGCCCTATTGCTGTTAGTGCAACTTAGTGATCAAAATCATGTTGCTTAGTCTAGTACATTGCCTTAGAGTAGGCCGATTGAATTAGTGAGGAGTCAGTGAATCAACTTCGCCACAAGTTCCGTTGATTCAAACAGGCCTACTTTACTTGCAGTTTACTCTAAATCAATGGAACTTATGAAGAAAGGATGTCACCATGATTCAATGGGCCTACTCTAGTGTGATTTGCTACACTAAACAACAGGATTTTAGCCAGTGCTGCTTAACCATGCCCTGCTTTTAGTTCCATTTTCTGTTTGCAACACTTTAGCTTTCATCCATCCTGGGCTGCAAAAATTGTGATGGACCAAGCTAAATGCAGTACTATATGGCCCTTGTGAGGTTGACCATATAAACTTACTTCGTTTCCCAAGGATTTTAACACATTGTATGATTGGAGGTTGTGTTTTTAGCGCCAAGCCTGTGCTAGTGTTTTTTCTCTATAAACTTGTTGCAAGAATTTGCCATTATGTACTGTAGTACCTTGAGGTAAATCAGAGGCTGACTTAAATAATAATTTTAGCTGCTACAGCTATAAGTGGATGAACTGAAAGACAGCTTCAGTTCTCAGCTAGATCAGTGCAACAATAACTTGCACATATTTGGCAGTTCTTTTATAACTGGAATGTCTAATTTCATTAAATCTTGGTGTTTAATTTTGTTTTTCTGTGTTGATGGTAAAAAGCATAAAACAGTTCATATGATGTGTGGCCATCAAAGGCAAAACATTATTTCTGGCTTCCATGGAAACGTAGGTCTTTTTTCTGTTACAGATCAAGCATATGATGGCTTTCATTGAACAGGAAGCCAATGAAAAGGCAGAAGAAATAGATGCGAAGGTAAATGACAAATACTGTATTTGGGTTTTTTAAAACTTCTGTGAAATACCTTGACTATTTCAGATGCTTATCAGCTCATTTGTGTCAAATTAAATGTGTGACTGTGTTTGCCTTCTAGACCTGATATTTCTTTGTAAGACAACTGATGGTTCAACTCTGTTTTATCATGTAGTGTCGAAGTAACTTTCATTATCATCCTGCATATTTTACGGAGGATCCCAAATAAATATGCACAGGATTGCAGTCAAATTTTCCTCCTTTGTTCAGCTTTGTCATTATAAACACACTTATACATTTATTAAAAAATAAAATGAAAGTGTTTCCTGTTGCTGTTACTGACTTTGTTTAGTTGCTTGAAGTAACTGAAGGTTCTAGAATGGACCTTCTGATCACACCTGACACTGGATATTTGTCTTTACTATATGTTGAGACTTCTTTCATTGGTTCAAAAGGGCATTTTACTTAGGTATGAGATCAATTTGTGAATTTGTTTTGCCAAGTTCTGTGCTTCTGTACAACTCCAGTCCAAGACTTAGCATTTTCACCCATCTTTACATTGGTATCAAAAGCTGCATTTATCCTAAGTCAGTGAAGCTTGCTTGAACTTATTCTTCCTTTCAGGCTGAAGAAGAATTCAACATTGAGAAAGGTCGCCTTGTTCAGACACAGAGGCTGAAGATCATGGAATACTATGAAAAGAAAGAGAAGCAAATCGAGCAACAGAAAAAAATGTATGCAACAAAATGATTAAACTGGTCCTAGGTGTGAAAGAAAAAGAATGCTAGTTCTGATAACTGGGATAGAACTGTCTCAACTGAGGGATGAACATATTTATTTATTTATTTATTTTATATCCCGCCTATCTGGTCAGTTAAGACCACTCTAGGCGGCTAAAAGAAAGAGAAGCAAATCGAGCAACAGAAAAAAATGTATGCAACAAAATGATTAAACTGGTCCTAGGTGTGAAAGAAAACAGAATGCTGGTTCTGATAACTGGGATAGGACTGTCTCAACTGAGGGATGAACATACAGTCAAGCCAACTGCTTACAGTGGTGTAAATTAAATGTTAATTTAGATGAGAGTTTGAATTTGTTGAAACAGTTTTTTTAAAAAAATCTGAGTGTTGATTTACCGTGTTTCCATTGATTAAATTAGATCTACTACAGATAGGGACGTGGTGGCACTGTGGGTTAAACCGCAGAAGCCTCTGTCCTGTAAGGTCTGTAGATCTTCAGCTGTAAGATCAAATCCATGTGACGGAGTGAGCGCCCGTCGCTTGTCCCAGCTCCTGCCAACCTAGCAGTTTGAAAACATGCAAATGTGAGTAGATAAATAGGGTCCACCTCAGTGGGAAGGTAACAGCGTTCCGAGTCTAAGTCGCACTGGCCATGTGACCACAGAAGATTGTCTTCGGACAAACGCTGGCTCAACGGTTTGGCAATGGGGATGAGCACCGCCCCCTAGAGTCGGACACGACTGGACAAAAATTGTCCCTTTACCTTTACTACAGATAGGACTATGGGATTCCTTGGAAGAGCTACGTTTTTCAGAAATAACTGAGGCCCCACATCAAGACCACACTAGTCAGTCTAATCTTTTTTTAAAAATTGTGAATAGATAGCATGTGATCTGTCTTCTGGTGTGAAAAATTGCTAAATGTTTTTCCACTTTTGGAATAGAATGCTATCTTTATTTAGAGAAGCATAATGACTCACGTGGGGGCTGGGTCTTTTCCTGCACCAGAAAGTGATATTTGCTTCTTTACAAGTATATAATACAGGTTTGCAGATTTTATTTTTATAATTTATTTTATAATTTTAAATACAAGGGACATCTTCAGATATCTCATACAGAAATGATTTGTAGAAAGAAGGTCAGTCACTGTAGCGGGGTAGCTGTGGAGACATGGGCTCTATTTCTCTTCAGCCTTGAAAGCTGGAGGTTTTTGCTGCATTTTAGGCTTCCCACTCTCGCTGTGAGGATGAAACTTGAAAATGCATGAGCCACTCAGAAGGTCAGTCACTGTAGCGGGGTAGCTGTGGAGACATGGGCTCTATTTCTCTTCAGCCTTGAAAGCTGGAGGTTTTTGCTGCATTTTAGCCTTCCCACTCTCGCTATGAGGATGAAATTTGAAAATGCATGAGCCACTCTTGAGTGTATATGAGTCTCAGTCACTGACTTTTCCTCAGATGCGCAGAGCATTCACAGAACTTAGATTTGGGCAGATGACTACAGCATAGCTTGAAGGGAAGTATAAAGGAATCCCAGTGGAGGACCAGAAAAGTGTCTATGGATGCAATCAGATTGAGGACCTAACTCACTACTTATTACCCTGTCCTCTCTATGAAAACCCCAGAGAAAGATTTTTGTCCCCCATTTTTCAGCTGTATCCCAACACTACTTCAATGGAAATAGTAGACTACTCGCTGATACATAACTGTATATTATGTACTCTGTTGCACAATTTACTCTGGCAGCTAAGAAGTTGAGGCTTTGATTTGTTAAGGTTCATAATATTGCATAAACATTGAATATAGTGACTTTGATATTGTATGCTATGCCACCATTCCCAGAATGGACTGATTGATCCCTGAGGAAACCTTTTGTTTTAATCATTTTTATGTTAACTGGCCTTTGTAAAGGCCTATGGCCAGAAACAATAAAGGTACAATGTGTGTGAGAGAGTCTCAGTCAACATTCATCCTTTTAACAAGAACTGGCTAGTTTTGGGGTTGATTTCCTTTGTCTTCCTAAAGTATGGATGGATCGGCAACTTCTAGATGGCCAGAAACAATAAAGGTACAATGTGTGTGAGAGAGTCTCAGTCAACATTCATCCTTTTAACAAGAACTGGCTAGTTTTGGGGTTGATTTCCTTTATCTTCCTAAAGTATGGATGGATTGGCAACTTCTAGATGTCTAGAGGACACACAATACATACTTGAATCCAAGGTTAAGAACCAGTGGTCTAGAGGACACACAACACATACTTGAATTTTAGAAGGCTGCACCTATGCCGTCACCCCAAATTTTAAAAAGCTTCAGAATGAGAGATCTTCCCCAACTTTCTTCAAACTCCTGTACCTGGAGGGAGGGGGAGAATGACCTGGTAGAATTACCCCAGTTTTCCAAATGCGGGCAAGGTTGCTCTTGAGTGTTTTTCAGCAGAAATTGGGCAGGGATTGCTTGCATTAGGTCCATGGGGGACAAGAGGGAAACAGCAAGGCATTTCTGAGGAGGTAAATGAAATCCCTTCAGGAAGTTCTCCTGTCATGGGCCGTAAAGATCATTTCTGGAGGAAAAGACTTTAATCTCTGCATCGCTTTGCCTCCAGCAAAATTAATTACATTCCTGGAGTGGTTGCATAACAGAAATTCTTCGAACTGAAGGTTTCCTGAGACTCACCTGGGAATCTATAGGGGAAGGGGAACTCCATTCCCTTAACACAGACTCATTTGTATTGGAAGCTCTTCATGAATCGCTACATGCTGTAAAGGGTGCTGTTTATTACTCAAGCCTTTAAAGGGATCTCAGATAAGTTCAATATCTTGTGCTTGTATGGATTAGAACATCCCATGTGGTCATTTGGATAAGTTTGAAGGGTAAGTTAGGCAGCTTGATAGTAACAAACTAAATCAAGAGGAGATGGCTTCTTTGAAGTCCATGAGAAAAGCTTACTTAAGTAGAAATGTTCTGTTGAATAAGCTTCTGCAGAGTTAGTCTGGGACATAATTATGAAGTGTATAACCAGAGTCTGCTATTTCACCCTCTGGAGCCTGCTTGACTCAGTTCTGTTTTTTTCTGTCTGATTTGCAGTCAGATGTCCAACCTGATGAATCAGGCAAGACTGAAGGTTCTCAAAGCAAGGGATGATCTGATTGCAGTGAGTGTATACTTCTTTTTCCAATAAAATGGTAAACTATCTTGTCTGATTAAAATAGGAAAGATATCTTCAAGTATTTACAGTACACAAGCTAAGTTCCAAAAGTCAGCCAGATCATGTACACAGTATGTCTCATAAAATTCCAGGGTGTTAAAACTTCTGGAGAGAAACTACTATTAGCTGAAATAATCAGAAAAACTAGTTGATTAAAGAACAACAGGCCTAGTTACTGATTTTCTGCAAACACACTTAACTCTGTATGTTAAAAATAACAGTGAGGTTTGTAGTGTGGTGTTGTGTTGTTTTTTAATGTGATTTTTTTCTGACATACTTGGCAAAATGTTAGACTGCAGTTCCCATGATCTCTCATTGTTCCCTGTGATGTCTGGGACTGATGGGAATTGAAGTCCAGCCATATTTGGGGAGTCGTACATTTCTCATATCTGGCCCCTATGAAGGAAATCTTTGTAACTGATAGGTTAAATGTGTTCCCTCTTATTCTTTAGGATATTAATATTTTTTTTGCAAACCGAATATCCATGCTTCATATTTGCACCTAATGCACAAGCTGATGTAAAAGCTTTGTAGTTCACTGAGTTAGAAATATGTTGATTTAAGTGGCAGATGAGCTGCAAGGCAACAATTTATCTGTCCTTCACCATACAGTACAATGTCTTGCCTACTCCATTATACAGTGAGTGATGCTATGTAGTAGAAGCTAAATTGCCTAGTCTCAGTTGTACATTGGAATTGTGAAGAAAAAGTTACACCTTCATAGTTTGGCTGTGACACCAAATTCATTCTGGCAACATGTGTTACTATTTTCTGTAGACCAGGGCTTCCCAATCTGTGGCCTTGCCAGGACTGGGCCACAGAGACAGATCTCCTGCCCCCCTGCATGTCCAGATGCATGCACGGCTCCTCCTGCACACGCACGGAGACCTCCCCCCAGCCCACGCACTAAACTGGTCCATGGAGGCAAAAAAGTTGGAGACCACTGCTATAGACAACATATGAAAGCTAAGAAACATAACCATACTTTTATTAAGAAGCTCAGTCATGTGTACTGTTACGACACAGTTAAACCTTCCTCTTTTTGAAATGTCTGGAGTTATACCCCACAGCTTTGCACTTATGTCAGAGGGGTTGCCAGGATTGGAGGAAGATGTAAAAAATAGACATTGTTAGCACTGCCTGTGTTAAGATATATATTTTCACCAACCCATATTCTATTTGCATGTGTTTCTGGGTAAGCTGTTTGCATTTAAAAAAAGAATGAGTGTGGCATAATTTATAATTAATTTTTTATGTGTTTTCTGGTATTCAGGACCGTGGCTACCGCTAGGAAATAGACGCTTGTAGATTACAGTCAGGCTGAAAGTTACCCTGTGTGCTTTTCTAGTCTAGTCCTTCTTTTTGTTTTAGGATTTACTAAACGAAGCCAAGCAGAGACTGGCTAAGGTAGTAAAGGATACTGGCAGGTACCAAACACTGCTGGATGGTTTGGTTCTACAGGTAAACCTCAAGCTTTCTATTAATATTTCCTGCAAAACAATTTATATTTTTATTGTGTTGTGGAGGTGGATCTTCTGCTCTACATCCACATACTGTTAATTCTCTGGTACATTTTCAGTGTTCCCTAATTCAGTATGTACCTGTTAATTTGATTTAAAATTTCAGTCCAGTCTGTGGTTTATACTATGTCATATGTAATCTCTACATTTCCTTCTGTTCACCAAACTTGGTAAAACAATCAATCTCTGTTTTTTTCATTCAGAATATTAAATCTGTTGTTAGCCAAAGCAAGGTTTTCCTTTGAGCTTGGGAGGCTATTATCCAAAAAAGGCCTGCCTCACCCCAGTGTTTCATATTTTGACCTGCAAACTCTTCTTCCTCAGGCTGCTTGAGTCTTGAAGAACTCAATATTGTATGATTACCATGATTAATGTAATTGGTGTTCGCTAAATGAAAGCATGTTGTCTGTACTAATATACTGTGGTGCCTCGCATGACGACGTTAATTCGTTCTGAAAAAATCGCTGTCAAACGAAAACATTGTCATGCGATTTTAAAAAGCCCATAGAAACGCATTAAAACCCAATTAATGCGTTCCTAGGGGCTTAAAACTCACCGTCCAGCGAAGGTTCTCCATAGCACGGCCATTTTCGCTGCCTGTGCAGTGAGGAATCCGTGCCAGAAAACAGCGGGCGGCCATGTTTTTCACCCGGTGGCCATTTTGAAACCACCGATCACCGAAAATCATCACTTTGCGATAATCGGTTAGCAAAACAGGGACCGATCATCGCAAAGTGAAATTCCCCCATAGGGAACATCGTTTTGCGATCGCTTTTGCGATCGCAAAATCTTCATGGTGATGCGATTTCATCGTCAAATGGAGCACTCGTAATGCGAGGCACCACTGTAGAACTCTTCAAATAAAATTAAAGAGTAATGTTGTGTTTTGAATGCACTCTTCAAAATTTGCAAGCCACAAGGAGATCTTTAACAAACTCATTTGCTCTCTGTTTTATAAAGGGATTTTATCAGTTACTTGAGCCTAAAATGACAATCCGTTGTCGAAAACAAGATCTTTCCTTGGTTAAGGTAAGACTTCTCTGGTTGCAATCAGTTAAAAGGGGCATGAGGTAGCGTCTCACAGTCGGCAAGACTATTAGGGTTAAGTTATACAAGTATTTGTTAATTAAATTATGAGCAATCATAACAAAAGAACTAGAGTGGGCAGGGTGGGAGTTAATGCTTCTACCTGTGCTTTTCTTCCAGTCTAGAATTATTATTCTTCACCATCCTCGAGCTTCTACTCACATTGATGGGGAAATCATAGAGCACTTCTACTGTATAGGGGAATCTCCAATATTCTGGTCAGATCTGGTTTACAGAGAGTCCCCACTCAAGCTCCTTCCTCAAAGTGGTTGTGGAACACTTTTCTCCATTAAAGTGTGTCACCAAAGTTGGGGAGGGTCTTAATTTATTTATGTTTATTTATTTGATTTATACCCCGCCCATCTGGCCTAAAAGACCACTCTAGGCAGCTTAAACATTTGAGAGGGAGAGGCCTACCCTTTGGAGTCATCTAGCCAACTGGATTTATCTTGGAAAATAATTTGGCAGCCTCTGGGACAAAAAAGGACCAAAACACCTTTACTATTTTGATTCTTACAGTGAGATACAGTTTGTTCCCTCTGAGTGCATCTAGGGTGGATGGAATTTTTACCCAGATTTATTGTATATAGTGGTCTGTATTCCAGAAACAGGATTGCTGGTACCACATCCTCATCACAGTATCCAAACAGTACATGGACAGCTGAAATCTACAGTTGATCATAGCTTCTTGTTCCCTCTAGCTATAGTCTGTTCCCTCACTGACTCTTAGCTCACTGGGATTTCTAACTGGAGAAACTGAGGTTAAAATCTACACCCCCAAGGGATTATATGTATATATTTGTGATGGTTCAATCTTGGGATTAATGGTCTCCACAACAAAATTACGAGTCAGCTTTAAACTAGGGGTCAGGTTTATTGGGGCACAACATAAAGTCCCTATCAAGTAATTTATCCCATAATTTCTCTCCCATTGCCAACGGGTTGGATGGGGATGCCCATTCTTTTCCAAACAATTTAGAGTCCTCAGCATTATCCCAAGGCACAGTCCAGAGGGGAACCTCATTTTCCCTCATCGGCCCTCTCATCTAGGAGTGGGGTGGCCTCGCCATCGTCCGGCCGGTCATCTCAAGACTCTCTGGCCCCTCGAAAGGGGTTCCAGGGTCCTGTAGAAAACCCTTCCTCCTTGCCATTCTCTTCTCTCTCTCTCTCTCTCTCTTCCCATTCAACTCTTTCCATTTCCTCCCTCAACCTCCTTCTCCACTCTCTTGCTTCTGATTCACCCCAATATGAAGGCCTTTGAGGGATCCCCCTCTTTCTACGATAGTCAGCCTCCTCTCTCGGCACTCACCCACGCTCCCATTTCCCGGAACGGGTCTTGTACCCAAACCATCTCCCAACCCCTGGGTATTGGATCTTCCCTCCTTTTTATTTCAGCCGACCCCTCCTCAATCTCTGCCCTCCTGGTCCTGAGTATTCCCGCCAACTCAGCCGGGGTCTGAATAGCAACGGTTACCCCGCGCATTCGTTCCTCCAAATCCCGAGTATCGATTCCCTTTTGAATAGTCTCTCTTGGCGGGTCTGTCACTGTGGTCTGCACCTCCCTCTCCACACGTGGAACGGATGGCACTCCGGCGAGAGCCTCTTTGCTCTCGTCGCAGGCCTCATATATTAAAAAATAGTTCTCCTGCTGTCCTTGAATGGCCACAGCCCCTTCCCTGTCCCCACCCTTGCAGGCAAGTGGTATTATTTTGTCTCTAGATTCAGAACTGTTTTCTTAGAGATTAAATTTCTATGTATGTATATGTACTATTTCAGAATGCTGTCCAGAAGAGCGTCCCAATCTACAAAGCAACTACTAAAAAGGATGTTGACGTTCATATTGACCAGGTCACATTTCTGCCAGAGGACATGTAAGAAAGAGACCTACTGGTTGATTGCTGTAGATAGAACCCATATAAGGAAAGAGATGTGGGTAACTTGCCTAGGTTTTTCTTTTATCATCTGCTGCTTTTTGGATTTGGCACAGCCCTTTTCTTGATAACATTTGTCCGACAGCGGTGAACAAAAAGCGTATTGACTTACTGGTCACAAAATGCAACAGATGAGTATTAATTAGTTGTGGGGAAAGGAGATGCATGTACTGATGGGTCACAGATAGAGATGGGGGTATTCGTATTCTTATACGAATACCCCCACACAGGTGGAAATAACGAGGGTCCGGCCCCACGTGGCCAGACTGTCCACTCACAATTTCGCCGCTGCCACTGGCTCGGCTGAGGCTTCCTATCTCGCTGTTCTCCATAATGGATTAGCCACTCTCCGACTTAGCAGAGAGGCTTGTCATCCCACCTCCTGCCAGGACTGGGTAATCGATTGTGGACAACGGCACTATAAGAAGGTCCGATGAGCTCGTGTCAGCGGCAAAATTGTGAGAGGACCTTCGTTATTTCCAACTGTGCGGGGATATTTCTATACAAATACACTAATCTCTAATCACATATGGTGTTAACCTTACATTTGCTCTAAGGAATATGTGGGGCGGGGGGAATAAGAGGCACCAATTCATTCCTCTAGCATGCATCTTGAAAATAGTTGTTGTTGTGAATGGTTTCTTCTGTCAAGCTGTTAACACTCTCTCTCTTTACTAGAGCTGGAGGTGTTGAAATCAGTAACAGTGATAATAAAATTAAGGTCTCCAATACTCTGGAAAGCCGTCTGGACCTGATTGCCCAGCAGGTGAGCCTGGAAGTCACTTTTTAATCCCTGCCCCTCCCTTTCCTATCTGATACATTTTCTGCTTGACTGAAAGTGACATTAGCTCACACTTTCAGCTCCTGGGGTCAGCATGCAGCATTTGTGGGCTTCTGCTGGAATCAGTGGTCTCACTAGTGTGATCTCCCCTGATCTCCTGACTAACTAGCACTCAGATCTATTCAGTACTGGAAGACCGCTTTAGGAAGTTGCAATTTTATTTGCCTAAATTGCCCTACTTTAGTATTGGCTGGGGCAGTATGGGATAAATTTAAACAGTGGCTTCACTGGAGCACTGTCATCACTAGGTAAGCCTATGACAACAGAAGGGGTCTGCACGAGGCTGTTTTGCCCTGGATCCTTTTTGTCTCTCTCTCTCTACCTGTGGCACATCAACATGCAGTGTTTGTAACTGTTATGGAGGGACGTAGAACAATCTTTCCCAGCAAGATAACCAGTTTCTATGTTGCCAGTGTTTTTGCAGAGCATCTTTAAAAATGTAAGCCTTTTATGTGTGTCTCTGATGTACCATTTCAGGCTATGTTACAAAGTTATCTAACATTAGTGTTGTATGGATTTCTGTGGAAATAATCAGATTCAACCACTGTTCTGGTTCTAGGGCTACAGAGTAGATGGTGAACAAAAATCACCAAATCTTACTACCAAGAAGTAGCTAAATGAAGAATTATCTAAACTGGGTAATATAGTTCAGAAGTTACCTGGACACAGAAGACTTGTAGATAGAAGAAAATGTGTGCCATTTCATTTATGGCATGTAACTCTGTATTTGTGAATGTAGATTCCATAATTTAAGGGTTAAATCTGCATGTCCAAGTGTGTCAATATAGAAATTGAATGTTATGGTTTGTACTTGTAATGGATTCTGCACAGTATTACTTTTGCAATGCACCACCTGATGATTTGATGATTCTTAAAACTCAGTGTGTTGCTGAAGCTTATAGGGAGCAGCCATACCATGATAGTAGATCAAGAAGTGATAAATCCAAACCCGTTCACCAATGTACACATTGGATGTGTGTATCTAAAAACTGGCCTTTGTAACTGCCTTACGCATGGCAATGAGATCAAAAATTCTCATGATGATGATGATTTATATTTCAGGTATTTCTCAGCATTTTAAAGTACATCACATGTCATAGAAAGCCTGTCTCCTTTGTCATTCCATAAATGGCTTGACAAAAGGATCAGGTTTTTTGTTTGTTTCTTTTGGACTCATTCGTTGCTGATGCAAGTTTACTCCAAGTGGTAATCTTTTGTGCCATCTCCAAGGATTTCTTAAACATTCATGGCTTCTCTTTTTCTTCTATCACAGATGATGCCAGAGATCCGAACAGCACTTTTTGGTGCCAACAGTAACCGGAAATTCATGGACTAAATTCCTTGAAGTCATGGTGGAATCTGTTTCCACTGCCATAGTGAAGGGGGGTGCTGCAGCTGCTCTAATGAAACAAAACCCTCCCTCTCTAAAATGTACTCAGTACTATATTGTGTTGTCCTGTGTATGTTCTTCAGTTAATTTATTATTGTTTTGCATACCTGCTGTGCTTAGCTTGACTGGAAGAGAAGCTGGCACTACTCCTCTGTCCAGAGAGCAATGGTATGTGATGCAAAAATTGAGGCATTCAGGTTCTTTAAAACAGACCAGGGATCAGTGGTCAGTCTGAACTTCAGCCGCTCCCCTCAAAGCATGTCACCAATCTGTGCTGCTTGTCCATTATTTCTTTCCTTCTAGAAACATGCATTTCTTTGGAGGGTCACTATAATCCTCACGTCGCAATGGGTAAACTTTTGTCAGCCCCAGATTTTTATGCTGTATATGTGTTTAAGATATTTGCACACATGTGTACACACCCTTGTCTTGTACTCACTGAAAAAAAATAAAAGGTGTGTACCTAGACAAGTGCTTCTGTGTGGTTTGTCAAGCCCAATTGTTACTATAATTCAAAACATCTGACCTACATATAATTTCACACAGGGAGAAAGATTATCTCTTTAAAAGCCAAAAACTTCATGTTCATGATAGAAAAAATGAAGCCAAACTGTTAATAAAGTTTGATTTATTAAAGAGCAGAAGGGCAGGAGGTATGCTAATTGCAACTGGAATTCATAAGAGATCACAAACAAAAAGCCCCCCTCCAATACATTTTAATAAAATGCCAGGCAGTATATAACCAATACATTTTAAAGTATAGAGATTCTACCTCAAGGAATATCTTACTCTATTTCACAAATCTCTAGTTTATGATTTCTGTTTGGTTCATGACATGTATTAATTAAGATCCTTTACTCATGTGTTTGACTCTTCTTATAGGAGGATCGGCATTTGTGGAAGACTCTTCTCATGGACCAACTGAAATATAATTTAATCTTTGCTCATAATTCTTAGCATATTTTGCTTTTAATTTCTTCAGAGTAATCTCTGAAATTATGTAGGCTCTATGTATATTTTAAGGAAAGGGGGACATTAGATCAGGCTAACCTTTTCCTTAGAATGATGCAGCCTTCACTGTAGCAAAGAAGGCTTCCTTGCAGCCAGTAAGAAGGATTGCTTGAGAGATGCATCAAACATGAATCTGGCAGTGAAGGTTGTTGTCAGGTATCTCCCTAGATAGAAGTACTCTGGGTGATTATATCTCTGGATGTTAAGAGTAAGATCTGCTGCTTTTCCAGCTATGGAAAGTGTACAGATTCAACATATGCTCAGTGTGCTTGAGTAGGTACTATTTGAAAAATCCCATGGCATATTCTCCAATGCCAACAAAATAGACCCCTTGGGCAATGCCGAACAGAGGGGCTATGACCAGCGCACGGCATGCTGCCCCTTTCATGAAAGCTGCAGGGCCCTCGTGAGTCCAGACCTTCCTGCAGGTGAGAGACAGAATGGGTTGGTTAAATAAATGTACGCTGAACAGTTCTTGTGGCTGTCAGTATCAGAAGCAATCTCTTAAGGGGGGGGGGGTAAATTGGTAGCTGCAGAAAGAGATGAGCTATGTCAAATAATGCCTGTTCAGTAAAAAGGAGAGACATGGACTATGTTCCTTCTCATCATTTTCTGCCCTGAAAAACATTGGAGGCAGCACCGGTCTGTCCCTTGTGTCCTGTGTCATCAAATTGCTTTCAACTGTAATATGGTTCCTGAGAAATGTGAGATCTTCAGGTAGCGGCTTACCATTCCTCCTCATCCACTGGTCTTTTGAATCCTGATCTAACACACTCTTCAGTACACCACACTGCCTGTCAGTTTAAAACCCAGAAAATATAGCTTGCTGTGATGTAAATGTACAAATAGGGGAAAAACTACACAGACTACAGGAGAAGATGGCACACTTAAAGGATGCAGTTACCTTGTGTTTGCTTTCACACAAAGCTGCCTTGCAGAACAAACTACACTTGTTTTGAACAGTACCATAAATATCCTAGAGAACATGAAAATTACAGACAAGTTCACCAGAACTTAAGAGATGCAACTTATGCATTTGCACTTGATTTCTACTATGTTAAAGACATCTACAGCTATTTTTCTTTACTTTTCTCCCTATTTAGACTCCTTTGCTAAACAGTTATTTTTAGCCTCCTATGCTGTATAGTGATCTGTAGACTCATATGTTATGCAGGAACCTAGTAGCTTTTCCATGTCAAAGTAGGAATTGGAAGGCCCTACAGATCTCTCTTCCTGAAGTTTAAATCCATAAACATCTCTGGACTGCTTCTCTATAGAACAAGTGTGCCCTGCAAACAATCTACAGTGGTGCCCCGCATAGCGACGTTAATCCGTTCCAGGATTAACGTCGCTATCTGGAAACATTGCTATACGGAACGTAAAACCCCATAGGAACGCATTAAACTCCGTTTAATGCGTTCCTATGGGGGGAAACTCACCGGGAAGCAAAGATTCCCCATCTGGCCGCCATTTTCGCCGCCTCGGTAAGCGAGGACAGGGCACAAAAACGCTGTGGGCAGCCATCTTCTGCACCCGGCGGCCTTTTTGGAACTGCCGATCAACTGTTTTCTAAACATCGCAATGCAAAACGCTTACCAATCATCGCAATGCGATCACATTAGCGATCGCAAAAAAGTGTCGCTATGCGGATTCGTCGTTAAACGGTGCGCTCGTTAAGCGAGGCACCACTGTATTGCTGTACAAGAGTGCTGTTCAAGTATCCAGCTACTCCATTCCTCCTCATGTTGATCACCATTCTTTATCTGTATACATGTCCATTTCTTACGAGGCTACTTTGTCACCTCACAAATGTCTTCCCCATAAATATTTTTGTTCCTTCTATAAACTTGGGGATTTCTCTAGGCTTGCCGTTCCTTCAGTTCATGTTGCAATTTGGGATGCATAAAGAGGCATGCTGAGAGAGTTGGTTCACTGTTAGGAGATGGGATTCTTGACACAACAGTAACATGAGGCCAAGGAAGAAAAGTAGTTTAAGAACTGATAGGTCAAAAGCTGAATGCTGAAATTGACTTACCACAAGTAGTCAACTATTTGGTCAGTTCTGCTTACCTGGCACAGTCAATGATCCCACTGTAGGTGTCCTCTCCCAGACCCTTCTTGAGAGTTTGAATGCGGGTTTTTAGAACTAAAATGAGTGATAGTTAATTTAAACTTATGTAAGTCACCTGAGTAACAGAATTTATGCTTAGCACAAAGAGACTGAGTTGCAAGATTCGGCTTTTTATTTATTTGTTAATTTTACTCCAAACACTCTGAATTGTTCTTATCCCACATTGGTTCTTCGTAAATAATGTTATTAATAAAAATAAGTTTATTAATATCCCTATCCCCCTAAATAATGTTATATACATTATTGATCTGTGCAAGATCAGCTAATCAGGATTCTTGTGAACACTTATTGACCATGCATGAGTGTACAGCGGTGCATGCAACCCTTGCCTTCACAGTTGCCTTCTGCTATCACAAAAGGTTCCACCAATTCTAGCCTAAGAGCCTACTCCAACATCCAAATCCAGGATCCTGATTATTGTTTCCAAACAAGGCAGGATTTATAAGACAAAGAATGAACTCTTATGGTCGTGACTTATAAAGGGTTCTGGATTTGGATGTTACAGCAAGTTTTCTTCTGCACTAGCAACAAGAACTGGAAGAAACAATGCATAATGCACTGCTCATTTTTAGTAAAGTAGGATTCAAGAGTCCTTACAAGTTAACATGGTCTGTGAATGGATCAGAAAATGGGGACAAAAATTAACCTGACTTCAATAATCATAATATTCTAGGTTCCACCTAGTAAATAGGCTGCGTTGAGGATTTGCAGGATATATCTTTACATTTAATAAATAAAAATAAACAGTAGATTTATATCCCAGTCCTCCATGGATCTCTAAGCTGTGATTAGGCATCCTTCAGTCCCAAGAGACTATGGTAATGTGCTCTGAACAGAGGACTTGGAACAGCGTCTAGTGTGGCTGAGAAGGCCAATTCGAGAGTGACAATCTCTTCCACACTGAAGACAAATACAATCTGTCCTCTGTCCAGCTCCCTGATTTTGCTGGTTTCGGGACTGCCTCTTTGCCTCGGCCTGGTGGACAAGTGTCTCTTCAAATTGGGAGAGGCCGTGATGCAATGCCTGCCTCCAGGCTAAGCACTTAAGAGGTCAAGGTTTCCCATCTGTTGAGGTCCATTCCTAAGGCCTGCAGATCCCACTTGCAGATGTCCTTGTATCGCAGCTGTGGTCTCCCTCTGGGGCGATTTCCCTGCACTAATTCTCCATACAGGAGATCTTTTGGAATCTGACCATCAGCCATTTTCACATCTCTAAGCTACCTAGATAGATATTACATCTCACGTTATATTTGCAGCCACATAGACAAGTGATAGTACTTGACCTATGATAGCCCAGTGGCCTTGATTTATCTGCACAAATGTAAACATAGGCCACTTCAAGTCAAACCTGTCCACTTCTTTATGTTGGTTCGGTGCTATAGCTTATTGCTGAAAACCTGTGCTATTCTAGGCAATGTTTACATGCCACAGCTTGTAAGAAACATTTTTTTCGGTCTTTCTGGGATAAATGCTGTGTGATGATGAGGTAGTTGCTAACAGATCATTCATAATTTATGTATCCTGCTTAAGTAAAAAGGTTAGCATATACATAAGTTAAACCTGATTACATTGAAAGGAATTTCTGCAGCATATATGAAACAATGGGAAGAAATGCATTTTACACATTATAGAAAGGAGTTTAGTGGAGCCTGAACTGTTAGTCTGAAGCACTGTTATAGCACCTTGTGGTGGAACAAATTAAAATAAAATAACAGTCCACTCGTGCGCAACAGTTAAGTCAATTACCTACCATCCAGTGGGGTCACTGCCACTGCAGCCACAGATCCTGCCACAAAGCCTGACAAGAACGAGTGCAAGAAAGATGCTTTTTCCTCAGAGCTCTCCTGCCCCAGCTTATTGATATTGGCAAAGAGCGGGAAATAAATAATGGAAAAGGGCACATCCCTGTTGGGAATTAAGTGGAATATTTTAGATAAACAATGTCGCTTTCTAAACCTCCAGGATGAGTCTTTTGTTAGAAGCTTTTGCCACAAAACCAACAAGCAAGCAATCTGGCTAGCACCTTAAAGACTAGCAAGTTGCACAGTACTGTATTTAGCATTAACTTTTGTTCGTATACACAACACTCTCTTGTTCAGATGCATAGCATACAGCCTCAGTATAAATAATAATTTTGATATTGTTTTTCTGAGGAAATGGGGATTAGTAACCAAAACGTTCCTGTCATGTGAAAAATATGTGCAGAAATGCACTTTTCCTGTAATAACAATGCATCATAAGCTTCTCTTTCCCTTTGCTTTAAATTAGTGCTTATGTCCATCTCTAACCCATGTCACCCAGACAGTGGTTAAGCAAAGTACTTATAATCAGAACATAGTCTTACTGCATTTCAGTGGCTAAAATTAAACCTGTTTGGACCTCTAATCATCCTCAGTATATACCAGCTGTCTCCATTGATTAGTGTCCATGCATTATTTTTAATATATATATCTTACATTTTCTCTAATGAGCAAGTCATTCATGACTTGTTTTCTTCCCAATCTGTCCTGGCAACAACCCAATGCATTAGGTTAGGCTGAGATAGAATGAGAGAGAATTTGGAATGAATGAATGAATGTATTCGCGAAGGCTTTCACGGCTGGGATCCGATGGTGGTTGTAGATTTTTGAATTGCCGAGGATCACCCAGTGAATTTCATAGCTGCTGTCTGGATCATCCATGTTCTAAATCAGTGGTTCTTAATGTGGGCAATAATGCCCCCCAGGGGGCGATTTCATTTTTCAGGGGGGCGGTAGAACGAAAAGGGGCGGTGTGGGGGCAAAAGAACAGAAGGGGGGCAGTAGGGGGGCACTGGAGTGAGCCAAACCTGTGAAGGCGACTGCAGCCGCAGTGCTGGCAGGAGGTCTGGTGCTGCTGCTGCCGCCAGATGATCCAGCTCTTTCTACCTGCCACATCTCGCCTTTCTCCTTTATGGGAGCACTGAGTGTGGATCGGGGGGAAGGAAAGGGTCTCTTGGGTCCTCACCTCACCCCGTGAAGCGCTGCCTCGCACCCAGGTGGGGAGGGAGACAAGGTAGGTACGTAGGTAGGTAAGATATCACCTCAGGGAGGGGGGCGATGATAACTTCCTCAATGGCTCAAGGGGGCGGTTCTTTCAAAAAGGTTAAGAACCACTGTTCTAAATGATCACTCTAACCACTACACTACACTGGCTTGCCAATGTAATTGAAATGCTGCATTCCCCCAAGCTGCTTTGCTACAGACTACCAGTGTTGGCTCTCCTGTAATGCATGCAAAGGGAAATCCCATCCTCTATTCACCTGAGCAGTGTGGCCCCAAGCCCTTTATACAGGCCTGTTAGTCCTTGAGTGTGCAGCAGATCTTTAGCAATCATAGTGGCAGAGGGACGTTGAGAAGGTGCCATGGGCATACTGGTGTAAGGCTGTCCTGGTGGCAGATGGGAATTGGCAGCAGCTAACCCCTCCTGTCCCAAGGCCTCCTGCTGATGAGCAGCTAAAACAGAAGAAGAAAAGTTCCAGAGTGTATTTTTCTTGGGAACGGATGAAATCTGTTGGTTTCCCTTTATGGTAACTTTGAAGCTCACATTTATTACATCCTATTTCCATATCAGTTTGTGATTGTTTTGGTTTGAAGCCTACAAATTAATCAGTAAACATTTCTATACAAATATCTATTATAAATATATGTTGTGCACAGATATTTCCAATGTATGCCTTTCATATAAAAATGCAGGCCCAACATATTCTGTATCCATACCAAAATTATACATACCATCTGCACGTGACACAACTCTACAACCAAAACTGGCATTGGCCAACTGAACTTTCTATATATTTTAAGAATAATCCATGTAAGTATTGCAGTTCGGAGGTGCCTGAAAGCCTGCTTACTTACACACAATGTTACTGAGAATGAAGAACAAGATTCTTGGCACAGGTGTGGAGAAACAATACATGGACTTCCAGCTGTTGTTGGGCTGCAACCCCTCATTAGCAGTAGCCAGTGAAGAGAGATGGCAGTTATAGTCCAACATCTGGAGGACCACATGCTGTCCATCCTTGCTTTTGAGCCTGGAAGTCTGCATTTCCAAATATCACAATACCCGTGTGGGTATAATGGCAAACTCTGAACCATGTAACATGTAAAAAAAGGGGGGGTCAGATGCTTGTAACAGGTCAGTTCCCATACCTAGGAGCACGTCCTCGACCCTCTGACAAATTGTCTCTTCTCCATCTCCTGCATACTGTACTAGTTAGTTAGTTAGGTATCCTTCAGTCTCGAAAGACTATGGTAATGTGCTCTGTATGGGAGACTTGGTGCAGCGTCTAGTGTGGCTGAGGAGGCCAATTCGAGAGTGACAATCCCTTCCACACTGAAGACAAGTCCAATCTGTCCCCTGTCCAGCTCCCTGGTTTTGCTGCTTTTGTGACTTCCTCTTTGCCTTAGCCTGCTGGGCAAGGGTCTCTTCAAATTGGGAGAGGCCGTGATGCAGTGCCTGCCTCCAGGCTGAACGCTCAGATGTCAGGGTTTCCCATCTGTTGAGGTCTATTCTTAAAGCCTTCAGATCTCGCTTGCAAATGTCCTTGTAACGCAGTTGTGGTCTCCCTCTGGGGTGCTTTCCCTACACTAATTCTCCATACAGGAGATCCTTTGGTTGGAGCTTTGTCCTGCCAGGTGATACCAAAAATCCGTCTGAGGCAACACATATGGAACGTGTTCAGCTTCCTCACCTGCCATGCACAAACGGTCCAGGACTCACTGCAGTACTAATTTATTCTGTAATAGCCTATCTTCCAATGATTTCAAATTCACTTTTTTTCTCTCTCTTGTACCTTTAACTGAAAGAAATACGCTGTCCAGCAACATGCATAGTTCAACATATCCTTCAGCATCAGCAATATGTCAAGAGCAACTAGTGCACTCATAGCATGTTAGCATTTGTTATGAGCAGGCATTAATATGCATGCACAGTGGAGACAAGAGGACCCCCCCACTCTCAGAGATGAAACTTTTAGAGTGTTTCATTTCTAGAAATTGTCCGGGAACAGAGCTCATGAAGAATTACAAGCCTAGTAACATTTTATCAAGACACTCCCAGAAGGAAGAAAATAAGGAGGGAACAGCAGGGACAATTGTTTACACACAGCAGATAACAAAATTAGTTAGCAAATAAACAATATATATTACTACAAAAAATAAGCCACTGCTACAACTGGTTTGGAGATACCTCCAAACTGTATCTTACCTAGCCGTCCAGCATCCTGCAACTGGATTTTCAGCATTTCCATGGGGGATGTGACCACCACCTGGCAAGTCCCGGCTCCACAGCCAGCCAGCATCTCCCTCGCCAGTGACAGTTCTTTTCTGTTGAGAGGAGCACAAATGCAATTGAATGGCTCCAAGGCACTGGTGTAGTGGAGCCAGGGGTTGCAGCATGAAAGCACTAGGGTTGCCTGTAACAGCAGTAATAACACCATCCGCCACCCTCCTCAAGCTTCTATTGCCACCAAGCTTAGCAGCTGGGAGCAGGGAGAATATTTCCTCCTGACAACAAAATGTTCTTGGGAGCATCAAAATTTACCACTATACTATTGCTCCGAAAAGTATTCATACATTTAGCCTTAAGCTTATCATATAACATGGAAGGAAATAACTTCACCTAGTTTAGTGCCTTCACCAGCAGTGTGCTTGGCAGGAAACCACAACTGAAATGTTTCAGTTTGTAGATGCTCAGTTGCTCACATGTCCATCTCGGCATTGAGCACATTATTAAACTCTGGTGAAAGCTACAGTTGTAGTTGCTAGGCTTCTGCCCTCCTATTTTTCATTCATTTTGATTGTTTACTCAGATGCCTATGCTGTTCAATATGATTTCGTCCAAGTAAGTGTGCATAACATTATCTGCTTAGGAGAGGATTGTGGCAGAAATGGAGGCTTGTCTTGGTGCTGTTTGTTTGAGGTGTTCCAGGTGTCATTACTTTAAATACCCAGACCCGAACTTCCTGTCCAGGCTTGCTAGTGTGGCAGGAAGCCTTCTTGTCTACTATGAAGTTTCTGCCTACAGTTGCTCTGAGCCCTGGGAAGGCTGAGCACCATCATGGAGAAGATGTATATCCCTTATCCTGCTGCATCTTAGAAAATAAGGTTGAACTGCCTGCCACATGAACCAGTTACATGTCCTGTAACTATGGATACGAAACATCTCAAACAGACAAGACCAGCATCTCTCATAAGCCTCTCCTAAGGGTGCAGTTTTCTGCTTACCTTACCTGAGCATACAGTCTGCTGAACACCATTGGCTTTTGAGTCAACAATATGAATTAATGAAAAAACAATAAAGCATAGGAGGGGGAGAAGCCTAGCAGCTGCAATGTTTATCTTGATCAGTAAGGTCAGTCACCAGCTTGGGGAAGGCTAAACTAGAATGTCTCTGGTGGAGAAAGTCCTCCAGAAACTACACAAAATTAGACAAGCACACACAACATTCAGAACAGTGGCATTTCTCTTGTATATTGTAGGATTTATGTGCTGTAGGAAAAACATAAAAGCCAGTATCCTATTAGAACATCCATTGTGGAAAATGTCCTTATGTGCTGTAGGAAAAACATAAAAGCCAGTATCCTATTAGAACATCCATGGAGGAAAATGTCCTGACAATAGCAAAATATGGGACTGCAATGCTGTTGAGGAAGCAATATGCTCTTCAGGCTTGCCCAATGGAAGTGCTTATACAGCAGCAGAACTGCATATTAATTACTATGCTGTCAGAATATTCAGCTTTGCAAAAACTCAACAGGTTACTACATAGCCAGAGATTTGAGAAAGCTTATAGGGACAGAGTGCCATTTTCCTCCTACCCATCTTGGGAGAGCAAGTGCCGGAAGAAGTCATTGGCAGCCAACTTGATTGCTTTTTCAGGAGTGACAAGAGTTAAGTTTACAGCAGCCCCTATAAGAGGATGGAAGAAAGGAACAAATATATATATATATATATATAGCTGAAGTCATATTAAAGTAATGAAACATCATCATCACTGCATCTTAACACAGAGAATGAAAGGAGAGGTTACTTACCTGTAACTCTGGTTCTTTGAGTGGTCATCTGTAAATTCACACTAATGGGTTTAATCTGCAACTGTGCAGAGGTCTCTGGAATATTCTAGAGCTCAAACATGAATTCACTAGGACCGCCCCCATATTACATGTGGTCCGCCCGTCCTTACGACTGCCTCAGTTCCCAAACTATCCACCACTGAATAAAAGAAAACAGAAGTGATGGACAAAGGGGAGGATGGGCGGGAAGTGTGAATTCACAGATGACCACTCTAAGAACCAGAGTTACAGGTAAGTAACCTCTCTTTCTTCTTCGTGGTCTCTGTGAATGCACACTAATGGGTGATTAACAAGCTTACCTTACAGGTGGAGGAACGTCACAGCAAGACCAAGGACAAGACTGCATGACCGAAAGCTACATCTGACTTGGCCCTTACATCCAGGAGATAATGGGATGCAAACATCGACGGAGTGGACCAAGTAGCAGCCTTGCAAATATCTGGAATAGGTACACCTCGCAGAAAAGCCGTGGAAGTGGCCATTGCTCTGGTGGAATGAGCCTTAATCTGTGTAGGCAGAGGTTTCTGAGCAAGCTCATACGTGAGGTGTATGGTTTGAACAATCCATATTCCTCATTTAAAATTTTAGTAAAATTTAGTAAAATTTTTACAATGGGAGCAGGAGGCCGGTTGATAGAATTCTCCCAGACAAAACAGGCATGAACAGACACAGGCAACTTATTCGTGCACAAAATGCACCTCTTAAACAGCCCTGTGGGAGCCATAAATGGCGGGAAGAGAAAGGGGGGCGGGGGAAATAGTGGAAGGAAAAATCCAAATCTCACAAAAGAATAATAGAGAAAATCTATTCTAATTAACAACGATACGATTATTATGTCTCCTCAGGAAAAAGAACCAGATTGTGCAAACAGAGAGCTCAACAGAAGACGACACCTCAGTGCGTTTCCTCAGGAAAAAGAACCAGATTGCACAAACAGAGAGCTCAACAGAAGACGAGACCTCAGTGCTGGCAAAAAGGAACTGAGGTTTAGTAAAATTTAGGCGGACCATGTGTACTAGGGGGGCAGTCCTAGCAAATGCATGTTTGAGCTCTAGAATATTCCGGAGACCTCTGCGTAGGCACAGATTAAGCCCTTTAGTGTGCATTCACAGAGACCATGAAGAAGAACACTAGCTTATCTTATAAAATGTCTTGTGATACAGTATTTCTTAAGCGTTGCTTATTACACTTTGAGCTTGATGCACATTGTGCCAACACAAGAGGGTGCTCTTGAACGATAGTCAAAACTGTGAGAGACCACCGTTTCCTTTCAGTACATTAGGCTCAATTATTTATTTACAGTATTTGTTGTCATTGTGGCATACACATTATGTATTACAAGATATACAGAACAACAGGGCATTATGGTCTCCTTATAATTGAAACAATATGTGGAGCAACTTAAAGTACTGTAACTTAATCCGTGGCCCAAGTTGGCTTCAGTGTATATTTGGGAATCAGGACTTCTCACCACTTTCAACCTACACCCCTCCAATTCCTCCATCAGCAAAGTGTTGTGGTGTTGTTGTACAACAAAGTGTTGTTGTACAACATTCAGGATATATGAATCAAATTTGGTAGGTGTGTCAATGCTTCTGTGAAAAAGATCAAGGGAAGCTAGAAAGGACTTCTGTAAACTGCACAGTCCAAGAATTCTGGAACTCTAGTCCTCACAAGTGGGGCTGATCTCATAGGGCTACCAGCTGAAATGCAGATAAGAAAATAATGTAAATAGCATTCTAGTATGAAACTGCTTTTTTCAGCGTTACAGAGAAAGATACATTGCATTCAAGTTGCTTCTTCTGTTTTGTGGCATGCACCCAAAGTACTATGTCTTTATCTAATTAAAACTGAAAATGAATTCAAGTCCACACAGCAGTGATGGGCAACCTGTCATTCTCCAGATATTATTTGACTAAAGCTCCCATAATCCCTAACCAAACTGACTGCGATTAATGACATCTGGAGACTCACTTTTGCCTTATCGCTTCTTTCCTAAAGGAATTGGGGAATTTTATTTATAATTAAATGCTATGATTTAATTTATAAATAAAATATAAATATTTAATGTAAACCCATCCTTGACATGTTTCGAAATACATCTTTTATTTTCCTTTGAAAAAAACAAAAGATAACCATTGTCTCCATTGCACTGTAATATTATGCTTCAGTAGTAAAGTGCCTCAGTTTACAAAGCTTACCTCGATATATTCCAAAGAACCCTTCAGAGCGTATAGTTTTTATCAAACAGTCTCGCCTAGAATAAGGGGAGACAAACAAACAAAATATATTTCAAGGTTGTAATTGACATTTAAGAGGTAATAAACCAGAATAGGCAGGCATTCATTCAGAGAAGTGGATAAATGAAGGAGTCAAAACTTCATCATGCCAATTCTTTTTCTTTTTCACTATTTTGTGCAGTGTGGTGTGCTTTGGCCTGGGGTTTTCCTCAGGGGAATCCCACCAAAATCATAATGATCACCACTTTATAAACTACATTCATCACAAAGTAAAGAACAAAATTAAGGTGCAGAAACCTCCACTTCATCAGATGATAGTAGAAAAGGATGAAGAACTAACAGCATTGCAACTTGTGAATGAGAATCAATCTACATTAATGAAAGCCTTACAGTGTAGAAACACATGGCTTGAAAGACCACATGGACAGCACCCTAGTTATCTCCTGGATGATAAGGTTGATAAGCAACAACAGAACTTGTGGCTTGAATTAGGCCATCTTTAGGCTGAACATGATTTATTTGCACAATCCAGAGCCATGTCATTTGCACCAGATATTATAAAAAATAATTATGTAGCATGATGTGATATTGATAGAGCTTATCATCACTCTAAAGAAGCAACTCATCATTTCATAGCTAAATGCCCCAAGCTAGCATCATTAGCAGATGACATGTGTAGGCATAAACAAGCTACAAAGATCACTAATCAGCAGTTAGCCAAATCTAATGGATTATTCACATCTTTTCCTCCATATCACACATTCCAGACACCTCCAGTTTTGGAAAATGAAACTGTAGTACTATATTGGGACAAGCAAGTTATCACAGATAAAACTATTTATTTATTTAAATTATTTACATGTCACCTTTCTCTCCATAGTGGACGGAAGGCAGATCACAACAACAGTTGATTTTAGTCTGATAGATATTATAGCTCTGGATAAAATGCAAAGAAACACGTATCTTATAGAAGTTGGATTTTCATCAACAACCAACCTCAGAAGTCCAAAAAGGTCAATAAAATGGCAAAGTACCAAATCTTAAGGCAAAAAATGAAAATAATATGGAAGCAAGATCAGATTCTTCTCTTTCTCATACAGTGGTGCCTCAACTAATGATATCCAACTCTATCTCTTCTTTTAATCTGATTTCATGGAAGCTGTTCTGTGCCAAAACGAGTGCCTGTTGTCATTAATGGACTGGATGAGGATCAACAAACTAAAATGTAATCCAGACAAGAGAAGAGGTGCTCCTGGTGAGTCACATGGCAAATTGGGGGACAGGGATCCAGCCTGTACTAGATGAGGTTATATTCCCTTTGAAAATTCAGGTTCGCTGCTTAGGTGTGCTCTTGGACTCAACCCTGAGTTTGAATGCACAGGTCTCGGTGGTGGCCAGGAGTGCATTAGCGTAGTTAAAGCTGGTATGCTGGCTGCACCCATTCCTTGAGCTGTCCAATCCGGGCACAGGGACACACACCTTAGCTACACTTTGTCTGGATTACTGCAACTTGCTTTGTGTGAGGCTGCCTTTGAAGAGAGCTGGTTCAAAATGCTATAGCCAGACTGCTCACTGATGCTAGTTACAAGGAGTTAACTCCCTGTCGTTAGCTCCCTTATTACAACAGTTTCACTGGCTGCCAGTCTGTTTTCAGGCTCAGTTCAAAGTGCTGGTTATCACCCACTAAGCCCTATACAGTATAGCTTAGGTCTAGGCTATTTGAAGGATCATATCACTCCATTTGAGTCTATTCAGCCTTCAAGATCTTCTGAGGAGGGCCCTTCTCTCAGTTCCATCACTTTCTTAAGTTTATTTGGTGAGGACATGAGAGAGACAGCCTTCTGAGTGGCTGCTCCCAAACTTTGGAATCCACTGCTCTGAGAAACCAGATTGCATCACGATGGAAGGACAAGAGGGAGGAGGTCAAAGAACTTCCTTTTCTGAGTCATTGCCTCCTTGGCTTATAGATTAACATTTATAACCACTTCCCTCAGGAGGTTCAAGCTTTGGAAGGTAGTTACTTCAAGCAGACCCTTCTTAGTCCTGGCATCAACCCTGTGAAGCTGTCACCTCAGAGAATTCTTGCTCTTCCTGTGTTTTGCTCTTTTTCAGATGGCAGGAAGAAGGAAGCATTTTCTTAACATGCATTTACAACAATTTTGTTTTCTATTTTCTCAAATTTTTAGAAAAGCATTCAAATGAGCAGAATCATGTGGCACCTGAAACATTAATAAGTTTTATTTTATATAAACCTTTGTGGACTGCAGCCCATTTCTTCAAATACATGGAGCATGACCTCAGTAGACAGGACATATGCACATTTCATCCCCCAAAGTTAGTTAACCCACTCTCAACAACCCCTATTAAAAAGAACATGACCACGTGGATTACAATCCACAGAAGCTTATATCAAGGACAACTTGTTAGCCTTTAGGATGATGCAAAATACTGTTGGTTTTCCTGCAACAAATTGCAGACTAGAATGGCCACCCTTCTGATAATTTAAAAAAGCAAGATACAGATGTTTAGATATATAAACATAAATCAAACAGCTGATACTTGTTGTGTCTGAAAGATGGTATAATACAGCATGAATGAGTTTGATCTATGAAAAATAGGGCTTAGACAAGATATGTTCTCAGCACCCATTCTGTAACAGGATGCCATGTTTCTGAGGTAACCAATGGGAAGCACTTGGAAACATCTGAAGTTTCACATAATTTTAACTATTGGGAAATTTCAGAAGGGAAGACTTCTTTGTCCATTACAACAAAAATGACAGAGAGTCTTGTGGTTACTGTGGTCATAAGCTACCATGGGCTACAGTAGGAGCTGAAAACCTCTTCATTGCTGAGAGATGCATTTCCTTGAGGAGAAGTCCATTGGTTGTGGTGGGTTCAAGAAAAGACAGCAGTAGGCAAGGCAGATTCAAGACTGGATAGGGCCTAGTTTTCTCCTTCAGCTCTCCCTTTCCCTCTTTACTCAGTGGACTACTAGGGAAGGGAGAGACCCCTTTTGCCAGAGGACCTGATTGCTTCTAAGAGGGCTTTGGAATTACATCAAGGAACACATGAAGTTAGAGCAACGGTTGCATCAAAGTCTAAATTCACTGGTTGCTTATCTGTGGTCTAAAGTCTACTTTCATCAACAATAAGAAATGTTATAGTCCAAGGTATGGGGGCAATGATGTTGCATCAAAGTCTAAATTCACTGGTTGCTGGTCTAAAGTCTACTTTCATCAGCAATAAGAAGTGTTATAGTCCAAGGTATGGGGGCAGTTATAGTTATGTGGATGGGAGGAAGAGACTTTGACCATTCCCAGCATGGTTGAAATAGGCATAATTCAAAGAGGCTTGGACTCTCTTAAGTTCTACGGACCCATCACATCAGACAAAGTCTTAGAGCACATACATTCCAGTGTAGACTGCTTGTCCTTGCTGATTCTGGAGACGGGTTTTGGCCAAATCAATGGGGAAAACACAAGTTACTCCCACAAGTCCTGCAACACCTCCATTGATTAACTTTGCTGGAAGGCTAGAAAGAAGAAAGAGAAATGTTAGCAGTGTGCAGTAGCTTTCTTGCTATTGACAATGAGTGTATTTTTAGATGTCAACCTCTATGGTTCATCAACTTTAGAGAGTAAATACAATTTGTAGAAGAATGTGGACAGTTTTCTACCTATGGATGTAAAACTAATTACACCGGACCAATTAATATTGGACTTGCTCATTAACTGTATATAGGTTTAAAGTTTTTTAAATAATCAAATGTGTTTGCATATAATGCATCCTATAGCTCATCAGGAAGATGAAGACAGGAAGGCCTGGCGTGCTCTGGTCCATGGGGTCACAAAGAGTCGGACACAACTTAATGACTAAACAACATAGCTCATCAGGGATCTGTGATTAGCAATGCTTCCCCAATGAACCTACACTCAGTGGCAAGCCAAGGTGGGTGCTGACAGGATGTGTCATGGTGGTCTTTGCTATATTTTCTTTTACTATCAATATAGTGGCATTTACATTATTTTTCTGGCTATATCTTGATTGAGGGTTTTCATGCACACAGCAACTGAGAAACTTGTTCAAAGAAGTGGCAATTCCGCATGGAGTACACAGAGCATTCTGGGATCACTTATTCAACTTAAGAAAACACATTGACAATTCTGAAATGAGATGGCCATGTGTGGGAAGCATTTCATGTCCAGGCCTCTCCCAACACCTCTGCTACTTGCATTGCATTCCAACCCTCTATAAACATCCCTTAACTAAATCCTTTTTCCCTTCAGGTTTTATACATTACTAGAAACAAATTTCTTAGTCTCTTCTTCCTATCAGTCCTGTCATCCTATGAAGTGATTTCATCATCATCATCATCTCAGAGCTGCAGAGCTGGAAAGTACCCTATGGATCATTGAATCCAGACCATGCTAAGGAGGTAGAGTTGAACTCAAACTCCCAACCTCTGGCTTTGCAGTCAGATACCTAAACCACTGAGCTATCCAGCAGTTGGAAGATTTATTTCCTTTTCTCCTCTCTAATCCAGAGGTTTACAAAAACTGACAATGATAGCAACCTCTACTACTTTTGCCTTGCTTTGCTATCTGCTATTGAATTAACTTTGCCTGCCACATACATTTGCAATGCACAAAGAAAAACAAAAGAAAAAAGGCGCTTGCTGGGTCTAAACAAAGAATCCACCCAATATAACATTTGCAGCAGAGATTAGGCCAGTTTGCACCAAAGCCCAACAAACAGGGTATAAAGACAATAACACCCATGCAACTTCGAAGCCCAACTTCCCTCCTCTCCAGCAACTGGTGTTCAGAGCACAGAGATTCCATTTTGTTGCCAGGGTTTATACTATCAACTTGATAGGCTCAACTTCTGTGAATTTGTTTAAGAAGGCTGAAAAGTCACCCAGGTTAGCCAAATTAACAGCAGCCAATTGATAAGGAACTTATGTCTAATATGAACAGGTTTTTCCTTTTATGTGTCCAAGTCGTTCAGCTTTTTCAAGAAAAATTAAATTGATTCAGGTAACTGGCTCAAGGCTTAACCTTCCATCTTTCCGAGGTCTATACATTGAGTATCCAGCTTGCGGGGCAGGGGGGATGTGTAGCCTGTGTAATTAAATTACTTTAAGCACCATGAAGTAGTATATAAACAGCATAATTTTTAAAACAGGTAACGTATGAACTATCCTAGGCTCCAGCATCACACACATTAGCTCCCACCGTCAACAACTTAAACATAATTTATATTGCAGGAGAGCAAAAGCTTCTACTTTATAAAGGCAAGGGAAAAAAAGAGCACTGACCTAATCTTCTTCTTGTCCCTCATTGTTCCTTGGGGATGTTGTTTCTTGGTGGTAGTGGCTGGGCTACAGCTGACACAGGAAAATTCTTTCAAACACAGAAGCACTTTCCTCTCTGCCTGAACTCAGCTGGGAGAGAGAACACCATTACTGCCTCTTTGATATATTACTTGCCAAGGGTGCATTATAGATAACAAATGAGAGTGTCAGTTCAAAAACAGAAGGGCAGTTTATCATTCAATCAACTTCCGGATATGACTTCTAAGATATTTAGTGTAGTCAAATTGATATTTTCTTCCCTATCATCTCTCTAGTAGAAGATGAGCCCACAACTCATACAAACACAAACTCACCAGGGAGGTGAGAAATAGGAATTCCCTGACCACTAGAATAAAATGCGCATCTTGATCATGTTACTCAGAAGAACATCTATTGAGTTGTTTCTCTGCAACAAAGAAGGAAAGTTTGTAGGAAGAAGATGCAGGGGCTTGAGATTCATTAAATACCAGTCAGATCAATAAAAGAGACAACTGAACACACAGAGAGATTTTACCTATTTATCTTGAAAGCAAGGCTAGGAATGCTAGGAGGCTGTTGAAAAGAGGGAAAATTAATTTTAAAGCATGAAAATAATCGGTATGGTCATATACGCTACCAGAATAGAAGGGGAAATAATTGTGAACACCGGACACTCTAATCTTATTATCTACCAAGGTGTTTAGTACTGAAAGGATGAATGAAGCCATACTGAAATTCGCTCAACTATGATATATATCTCTGCATCACTGAAGTGAGATGTTAGCACACAGCTGTTAACATCAAAAACTGTGACATTTTATTAATCTCAAAATTTTTTTAACAAAGCTGCTTTAAGTGAGGAGTTGGTCTGAATGAGCAGAACACAGTAAAGACACAATGAGCAAAATCCTGTTGTGTAAAATATATTCCCAGTGTAACCCAGATTGGACACTGGAAGTAATTAATTTAAAATAATGGAAAACATCCTAACCACTCTTTTCAGGTTCTGAAGTTCCCTAGGGCTGCCTTTTCCCTTGGTTAGCATTTGTGTTCCTTTGTACCTGGAAGTATGAGGAAGCCTTTAATAGTAAAACATTGCCACCCGATTGCTGTCAGTGAAATCAGGACTGCCTGCAGCACCTTTTTACTATTAAAGGCTCCCCCACAAACAGACACAAATTTCCAAGTCTCTCAAAAAGTTTCCCCAGGAGAAAAAGGAACCCTAGGGAGCCTCGAAACCTGAAAGGAAGGGGTATAATTTTAGTTAGCTTAAATTAAATATTTCCATCAACTGAATCAGATTACTCCAGTGTAATTATACACCATCATGATTTTGCACATCATTTAAGTGCTTTGTTCTTTGAGATAAACCAGGGTTTCCCAACCTGGAGGTTCTGCCCCCCCAAAGGGGGGTCACAAAGTGTTTTCTGGGGGGTTAAGGGTCATCTTATATATGTTATACCCTTACTTACTAATTTCTTCCTTGATCTTTCAGAGCAGGGTATTAAAAGTAGTCTGTATGTGTATGTATGTGAAATAGGCACTGGGGGTGGGGAAAGAAGTCTCTACTTTCTGAGAAGGGATGACTTTACCTAATTAAAAATGCCTTTTTATGCAAACATTTGTCGCGGGTTATTTGGCTATTATAAAAGGAGATAATGGATTCTGAGATAAACAGTGCAGAATTTGTGATACACTGGATTCTAGAATCCATGTGACAGCTGTGGAGTTGAATAAATGTTACTTTTAGCTTAGCCTAGAACTTGGCAGAGAAAGACATCTGGGGTGCTTAAGAAAGACAGCACTGGGGCAGAAAATGCTAAAAATATCTGCTTCTGAGAAGGTTGGGTGTGCCTTAATGCTTGTTGTTGTTGTTTAGTCATTAAGTAGTGTCCGACTCATCATGACCCCATGGACCAGAGCACACCAGGCCTTCCTGTCTTCCACTGCCTCCCGGAGTTGGGACAAATTCATGTTGGTAGCGTTGATGACACTGTCCAACCATCTCGTCCTCTGTCGTCCCCTTCTCCTCTTGCCTTCACACTTTCCCAACATCAGGGCCTTTTCCAGGGAGTCTTCTTTTCTCATGAGATGGCCAGAGTATTGGAGCTTCAGGATCTGTCCTTCCAGTGAGCACTCAGGGTTGATTTCCTTCAGAATGGATAGGATTGTTCTCCTTGCAGTCCAGGGGACTCTCAAGAGTGTCCTCCAGCACAACAATTCGAAAGCATCAGTTCTTTAGCCTTCTTTGTGGTCCAGCTCTCACTTCCATACATCGCCACTGGAAAAACCATAGCTTTGACTATGCGGACTTTTGTCGGCAAGGTGAGGTCTCTGCTTTTTAAGATGCTGTCCAGGTTTGTCATCACTTTCCTCCCAAGAAGCAGGCTTCTTTTAATTTTGTGGCTGCTTTCACTATCTTCAATGATCATGGAGCCCAAGAAGGTAAAATCAGTCACTGCCTCCATATCTTCCCCTTCTATTT